TAATGAAAAAAATTAAAACTTAAGACACTAGATGACCATTAAAGTTAAATGACTTAATCAATAATTGTGGATTAAAACTTATATATTGAAAAATTTATTATGGTGTGTTTGGATGAGAAATTTTAAAAATTTAAAAAGTTTGGAATTTTTGGTATTAAAATTATTTTAATTTCAATTTTCATCATTTTAAAAATATTTTATTTAGATAAATTAATTTAAATTTTTAAAATTCTAAATTTTTAGTTTGAATTTGATTCTATTATAATAAAGTTGATTTTAAAAATATATTCATATGTTAAGACTTTTAAATTAAATTTTATAAAAAAAATATTAGCCAAATTTTAAATATTTAATAATTTTAAAAATTAATAGTAAATAATATTTAATAATTAAAAAAATATCTTTAAATATTTAATAATTAAAAACACGAAGAAATAAGAAATAAAATGAAATAAATAAATTAAATAAGAAAAAAAATGAGGCATTTTAAATTTTTTTTAAGAAGAATTTGAAGTTCTACTATTTTAAGAAATTTTATAAATGTTTAAATTTTAAATTCTTTGTAAATTTTCAATCCAAATAAAGCATTATCTTAAGAAAATTATAATTTTTTAAACAAATAAATTACTTTATTTAAAATTTTCATCCAAACACACTCTTAAGATGAATACAATTGATCCATGTATAATGTGAATATGCAAAAACAATTGTCTCTCATTTATTACATTTATTTATTATTTGGAGTTGAATTCTAGTTTAATTGGTAAGTAAACACTACTTTTCTTTATAATAATTGTTTAAAAATGTTAAAAAAAACTTAAATATGGAAGAATAAAAGTAAGGAGAAATTACCTATATACCTCAATATGAGTTCAGAATCAAACTACTAATTAATTTTATTTTTTTATTCCTATAAATATTTTTTCTATATAACGAATTAAACTGCATCGAGAACATCGATCTCTACTAATAAAGTAACAATAACATATATGTATAAATTACATCATTAAAAAACCGAATTAAATTGCATTGAGAACATCGATAATCTCCAGTAATAATGTAACAATAATATATATATATTTATAAATCATATGATCACTTAACTATGTATAACACCCGCATAATAAGAAATGGTCATTTGTTGTAGTCCACTGATTTGAGTGCGTTTATTCACTTTAATCACATATTCATTATCTTAAAAGTTGACATTCTTAGAAACCAATAACACAAGCTACATGGAACTTGATTAGTTGTACTCATCATTTGAAGCATACATAAGTAGACGTGGAACACATTATTATTGGAATTCCTTTCTGAGGGTCACAAATTAATTCAGTTCATAATTTTAAGGTTAGGTCTTGTCTCTTTTCCAAATAAAATTGTTACACATGTAAATGCGTCGAAGAGGAGTGTATGCTAAGATGTGAGTTCCACTCTATATGGACGAGGAGAAAATAAATATCTAACGCGCTTATTCTGAAAACCATGCTTCACATAAACGCATGAGAATTTCCTAGTTACGTATAAGTTTAGATAATTCTTAATGGATAACAACTCTCACAAATGAGAAACTATAATTAAATTGAGAAGATATTTTTGCATTTTCGTCTTTAGTTAAACACCATGTTTGGAATAATATAGCTAAAAAGTATAAAGGTAAATCGAAAGCTGAAAGTTGTTAGGTCATGTAAGTTATTATACTATAGTTTATTAAATTATAAGTGTTTGATAAAATTATTTTATTAAAGTAGTTGATAAAAATAAAATATATCTAAATTAATTTATAATATATTTTAAAATAAATTATCAATATTTAAAAAAAAAGTATACCATATTATAAATTTTTAGGATAAATCAAATTTATATGCTTAAAAATGTATATTCATTACTTCTAGAGTTGAATTTAATCATGTGAAATTATTTCATCGTAATAATTAATAAGTAATTGAAGTTGGCTTTTATAAAAGGTATTTATAATTTTTTAAGAAAGTTATTTGTCTTGTACGAGTGATACAAATTAAAATATTAATTAATAAATATATTTGAATACAAAAATTATACTTTAAATTTAATGAATTTCAATATAATATTGTCACTAACTATATTAAAGATAATTTTGACTATTAAAAATGAATTTAGTAATAGATGAAAATGAACACAAATTAAAAGTGATAGTTAACTAAGAAGATAAATGTACACATAATATCATAATTTGAAATGATCATGGCGAGGTTCAGTGAAGAAAGGTTTATGGTGAATACTTAGGTATTCTAAGATAATGAAAGATATAATAAGCAACAAAATACTTTGTGAAGTTGAAAATAAACATAAATATAATGATTTTTGATATAGTTTAACCTTTCAAAGTACTGTTGAATCCATGGACAGACAATAGATAATTTGGTGAACTGAAACATCTTAATAACCAGATGAAAAATTGACAAAAGCAATTCATGATGTAGTAACGACAAGAGAAATTATATATTTTTTTTGTTCATAAGAAAAATTACAAGGACTTTACAATGATTGAATATCAATCCTCTCACTTCTACCCAAATTTCTTTTCTTTCAACCACTAAGCTAATCTTAATGGTTAAAGAATTTACATTTTACTTGTAAGAGCATATAATGTGATAAACACTATTGAAATAGAGAAAAAATATATAATATCAAATAAAGAAAAAATGATAAAAATTTAAATTACATTATAAATATAATTGTGTTATAATTTTATAAATTAAAATAACATTACATTAGAGTTAAATATCGTATAACACAATTAAATATCTTTTTATAATAATTGTAAAATCTATTTTAAGATACAAGAGATAATCTGATAATACATAAACTTATATTAATTTTTAATTATCACATCTTATAATTTTAAAACTTTTGTTAAATGTTAAATTCAGAAACCAAAATAACATTGAGTGAGACATACCTAATTGATGATTTACATTTTTGAATACTGAATTGAATTTGGATGGTTAAAATATTATAATAATATTGAGATGTAGGCACTAGAAAAGGGAAGGGACGACAAATGAGAAAAATGTTTGGATTGCAAGCATAAGTACGGATGCTATAATGGTCATTTGAAGACAGTTGGTGGGGCATTCGGACTTTGAATCAGTCAATCTCAAATCTATTGTGTCCCTACTATCAGTGTTTTTCTTTTTCTTTTGCTTCGTTTCACGTGGGATGGATATTGGGTACAACCCTCTCATTTTAAATTATATCACTAATCACTAATTCAACACTAAATTATTGCTATAACACTCATTCAACCTCCTCAACACTTTATTTTAATCTCTCAATTCAGTTTAATATCAATGAATAGTGGTGACAGTTTCTTTCTTTAACCCCTCCTCTTTCATCCGACACTTTAACATCATATTTTGTAGGAAAGAATCGAGGGGAAGGAGAAGAAAGGATAGATATTTTTATATTTTTTTTTTATTTGGTTTAATTTTTAAGATGAGAAAAGGGTAATCGAGGAGAGAAAATTCTTCTTGAATTAATTTTAATTTCTCTTTAATATTGGGGTATTATGGAAAAAAAACAGGTACAAATTTAAAAATATTTTTAATATAATATATAAAATATCTTTATTTATATTTTTAAATTTAAAATTATAAAGATATATAAAAAATTGATATTTAAAATTCTCTGTGAACCAAATAAAATAAATGTTTTTCTTTCCTTCTTAATCAAAGAAAATTTTAAACTCTTCTTCATCTTTTTTCTTCCATTAAAATTTTTCTTCTCTTTCAAACCAAATAGATTATAATAATGAGTTTGACAGTGTAGAAAACTAAAAATGTAGACAAGAGAAAGGAAATCCAAATAAATATGGTAAAAATTAAAAATTTTGAGATTAGTTGAGAGGTAAATACATGATAAAATATGACGTGAGAGATAAAATAAAACAATATAATATAAACATTATTTATATATAGTGTTAGATGCATATTATAATATCAATTTAGATAATATTATTATATTATATTATGCATTTAATATATATATATATATATATATATATTAATAAGTTACGATATAAATTATGTTTTTTTTGTTTTATTAAAATTACATACAACTTTTAATAACTTTTTTTTTTTTATCTAAATAATGAGTCGGTTCATCCTGGCCTAATTTTTAGCAAACCATGATTAGGTGAAGCTCAAAGCTAATTAAAAATTTAGTTTAATAAAAAAATATTAAATCAGCTTCATATATGTCAAGTCACACTAGGTCAAGTTATGTATCAAGTGGTTTGTAATACGAGGATGCATGTGCTATTACCGTCTAGCTGCCAAGCATATATAATATATAAAAGCACACCAGAGATATATAAAAGGAAAAAAGGTGCAAAATAGTAACTTTCACCTTATAATCCACAATGATTTACATTTACACATTTTCAATCCCAATGGTTAATTACTTCTAAGTTCCAACACATTTATCAACTAATACTTGCACGTACACAGCATTGCAGCTACTGTATAAATTTTAATTTACCAGAAATGAAAAGCTAACCACTGCTTTATTTCTGGAAAGGGTGACAAATTTTAGATGCCCCCCTCTTTTCCAAAGATATTTCTTTTACACATAGCACGAATAAACTAATAAACTAAAAGCAGATGATCCCATTGTGTGTGTAACATAACCAAAAATATAAATAAATCTCCATGGCCATGCTGATATAAGATTTCCAAAACCTTGTATTAGGTTCTACGAATTTGGATATGTGGTTGGAAAAAGAAAGAAAAGAAAAAATGCCACCTAAGTTCCCAAAACGCGTCCTCAACAGTTCCCTCTTGTCACTTAATCCATTTCTTTATCTGGTCTCCATCAATTCTGCGCCAATCCAATCCCCCAATTTTCGAGTTCATAAAAAGTTGACACACAACACACATGGCACCCCCTCCTTCTCTTTGAAAACAAATAAATAAACAAAAATCCCCCACCACTGCCCATTTCCTTAATTTAAGTAGCACGTCAGAAACAGAGATTCATAAAGCAAAAAGTTACTTCCCTTGCACCCAATCAAAATTAAAAGAAAAATTATATATTTTGTAATGTTGGAACCAAAGGGCATAGCAATATAGTAGTAGCACAGTATGAGTAGTGAAGCAGCTACGAGGAAGCTCGCTCCCCAACAATAACGTTGTATTTGTATGGAATGGTTCCACGTTTCAATTGAAAGCTTGGCACGCACTTCCACGTCTATAAATAGCAACGACAATGTTCCTCTCTCATTACTACGATACGACTACTACTAACAACACTGACACAAACACAAACATTTTAATTAATTAATCAGTCATAGTTGCATGGACATGCCTTGTTCATCGTCTTCGAGTGGTGCTGCTTCATCCGCATACAGAGGCGTTCGCAAGAGGAAATGGGGCAAGTGGGTCTCCGAAATACGCGAGCCGGGAACCAAGACCAGAATCTGGCTGGGGAGCTTCGAAACGCCGGAAATGGCTGCGGCGGCGTACGACGTCGCTGCGCTGCACTTCAGGGGGCGCGACGCCAGGCTAAACTTCCCTGAGCTCGCCACCACGCTACCACGCCCCCTCACCAACAATGCCGACCACATTCGCATGGCGGCGCACGAGGCCGCGCTCCGCCTCCGGACCAACCCGGCGCCGCCCCAGAGCTCGGCCTCGGCGCCGCCGCTCACGGTGAGACTCTCCCCCACGCAGATTCAGGCCATCAATGACTCCCCCATGGACTCCCCCACGTGGATGCAAATGCCCGACACCTTCATGATGCATGATCAATCCATCATCTTCTCCAATGGCTATTCCTTTGAGGATAACGAGTGGGAGGATATTCAGAATGATTCTCTTTGGGATCCTTAAGATACATATATAAATACATATATACTTACATACATACATACGGTATACCACTACAATACAATATACTAGTATTTCATTTTTTATTTGTCGTTTCATGCTGAGGTGAGGTGACATATTGATGATATATACGTGACGGGTGGGATTCTCACTCTCTCTGCACCTCACTCTTCTACTCTTACATTTTCAAAAAACAATTCAAGGAACATGTCATTGTTTCCTTTTCTTATTCCAGGAATCAAATTATCATGAATTCTGAAAGCAATGGAGGATTGAGAAGGACTTACTGTTAATTTCATGGGGGAGGGTGGGTCCCATGAGTGATTAGTCATTAGTGTAACCATGCTTATTGTGGGGCTACATTTGTTTAATTAGAGTTTATTCGTAGAGTGGGTGAGATTTGTTTTGTGTACCAAATGGGCCACGAACTCTGTTTATTGGCTGTGTTTTATAGGCTGTGGAAGAGTGTGGTGTGATTTATTTTATTTTATTGATTAAATAAATCCAGCTGATGTATTGGAAGTCCATTTGTCAAGCAGATATAGATGAAGTGAACAAGTTCAGCTATGTTTTCCTTTTGTCTCATATCATTGTTTGTAAGATTAATCCAACTCCTTCTTATAATAACATTCTTTATTTCTACCCTCCAAAAGAGATTGAATGAGAGTAGAGTAAAAGATATGGCAACTGATGTAATGTAGATTCTAGAGGGTTGTGCGCTTCCACCTTTTTTTTTTTTTACGGGCTTTCGTTTTCCAATTAGTTGGGCTTCTCCATGCTTGTAATATGGGCTGGCCCAAACCATAAAAAGAAAAGAGAGAAAATATTTGTAGTACTAAGATACTCTATCTATCTATCTATAAAACCAATGGTTCTCGGTAGTTAATACTTAATGGAACGAAAGTGGAAGCTAGAATGGAAAAAGTGTAAAAGGAAGTGGAAGGGACAATAAAATGTTGGTGATCAGTTGTTCCACTTCCACTAGGTTGTTTTTGAAGTCACCAGCTTCACCTTTGTGTCTGTCTTGTCCATATTCGTCACTCAAAATGGCTAATATTGATTTAGTAAATGCTATTCCCAAGCTTGGAAGAAAATGGAGAGCCGTTGATGGGAGTGGAGAGAAGCAATCAGTTACCGTAGCAAGCTTTGACGATGATAACGTTGTTGACTCAGCTTCAACGGTGGTGAGTAATTTCTATGGAGGAATCAATGCGCATGACGTGGATTCTGTAGAGTATCTAATTGCTGAGAATTGTGTGTACGAAGACCTTGTCTTTCCCCAACCCTTTGTGGGTCGTAAGGTAATTTACATTTTACACTTGCACCATCTCTCATCTCCCTCTTGCAAAACCAGAAACCAGGGAAGTATGAGAAATTAGTTTCTTTTTGTTGTTGAATTTGAATATATAACTCATTAGTTTTAGCTTTAATAATATTGTGCAGGAAATTCTAGAGTTCTTCAAAAAATTCACTAATGCTACAAGCACAGATCTGCAGTTTGTTATTGATGATTTGTCTACCAAGGACTCCTCATCCGTTGGGGTGATATGGCATTTAGGTGCATCACTCTATATATATATCCTATATACACCTTTTATATCGTTAGTAAATATTTGTTATTGTTTTAGATTAGAAAAAAAGTTTATTATTAACATTTGGAAAATTAATGGCTGCAGAATGGAAGGGAAAGCCTTTTCCATTTAGCAAAGGGTGCAGCTTTTATCGTCTAGAGGTGATCAACGGCAAGAGACAGATAACGTAAGTCATACTTTAAACTATAAGAATTCATTTTAACATCTATTGATCTGAAGCTAAGTAACTGGTTAAACTCTATTAGAGATATAAATAGCTAGAGTTTAGTCAATAGTGGTATTTGATTAATGCCTATAAATAACTTAATGTAGTATTGGCGATTATAAACTCTTAATATCTCAATATAAATAGCTTGCAAGATTTTCTATGAGATCCATGATTAGGCGATGGTTATAACAATAATTTTCTTTTTACACTAGTAACCTACTGATAAGTCTTGAAATTTTCTGAAAACAGATATGGGCGAGACTGTGTTGAACCTGCAATCAAGCCCGGGAATGCAACTTTGGTATGTGAATTCTTCATTTTTTTTAATTTATTTTTCATACAATGATTCTATCATGGGGATTGGGGATAAAGAAAAGCAATTGTGTGTATAAGGAAAAACAGGAAGAAGAAAACATGAAAAGACTGGTACTATTACAGAAGATTAAGAACTACGTGCTTTTTTTTCTTTCTTCAAACTAGAATTAAATTGATTTTATTGTTGTCAAATATGGCACAGGGATAAGAGATGAAGGAAAAGTCAAATTCTAAACAAGCCAGTTAACTACCAAAAGTTAATAATCTAACAAGAGCCAGAAATAATTGCGCAAAGTCAAACCAAATCTTGTCTCAAAATCCTTCCTCTTAATTATAAACCAAAATTATGGCAATCACTAAAGTTAGTAAGTTACATCTCTTAGTCTTAAATTTCCCATCCCATCTATATCTTGTGTTCTTTGAATCTGTTTCTCGGGTCATTTTGTACTTCGTTTGGTAAATTAATTGTAATGTGGTTGCCAGTAAACAGTTTTGGCGTAGCTTTCATATTGGTCATCATTTAAAATTCGATGTTGTTATTGGGAAACAGCAAGAACACACAGATCATGAAGAAAAACTTAAATGTTGTGAACGCATGTGCAATGGTGTGGACGAGTGTGTTCATGTTTATCCATTAACTGAGTTCTATGTTCTTGGAAAACAATTTATATGCAGACAGTGATCAGGAGCGTGACATGGCTTCTGCAACAATTTCCTCAGTTGGCAAAGTGGTTATAGTGAAAAAATATACATTATTTTGAAAGGGCAATGTCTCTCTTTTCTCCCTTACAGAATTAGTATGTTTGATATTGTATGTAGTTGGATGAATAACATTAAACAATTGAACAAAAATCAAGGAATGGAACACGGTGATTAATGTATTGAATTCAGGGTTGAATAGTTTGGACAGTGACCAAATTCAATTCTTAGTATAAATAATTATTGACTAGATTTTACTTATTTTTTGGTTGGGTCAGATGACGAAAATACCGGTAAAAATTAAAACAATATATATTTTTTTTGATTTTGAATAACTTTGAAAAAAGTTGGTTGTATATAAATTAAAAAAATGTAATTTATGATATAATTTTTGTTTCTTTCATAGATTTTGTAAAAAAAAATTAGTTACGTAAATATTTAAAATTATTTAATTGAAAATTTATTTAGAAAGATAATAAATAAACTTGAAACCAATTTTATAACACGAATTTTAAAAATTTTATCGTCTTATACTAATAAAATTTTATATCAATCTTTTTGAAGAGAAATCAATAATTTATCATCTAAAATATAATTATAAGTGATGAATGAATAATTAAAAAATTTCAAATAAACCAAATATTACTGGTAAGTATTAAAATTTCTCAATAAATATTAATGTAAAACTAATTAGATAAAATGGCAAAAAAATGTTAAAATGGATAAAGTGCAGTTTATTTTGAAGAGTGGGTTGGGCCCAGAGCCCATTTAAACGATACGAGAATGCATTTGGACCAGTTTGCGAAATCCTCGTTATTCGTGTCTGTTCAAATTGAGTAACTGTCACGTGGTAGCTAGGGTTTGTTTATGAACGACAGGTTTGTAGCCAAAACGGCAATCACTTTTAGGGTTTAAAAACGGAAGTTGAAACCCTGAGAAGTGACGTGGATTTCATTTGACAATGGGGTTCTGGGGTGAGTCATCTCCATCCTCTGGTTTCCCTTCATGTTACTTGTAAATGCGTTTGGTAGCGTAGAAGCGTTGTAGTGCTTCAGTTCTTTCATTAACATCGCTGTGAAATTTGAACTCTTCTTCGTGTTATTCATTTTGCGTTTTCCCTCTTCTGAGCTCAGGGATTGAAGTGAAACCTCGCAAACCGTATCCTTATCACGCAGACAATGTGCAAGGGAAGCTTCATGTTACTCAGGTTCTTTCATTCGAAAACTCAATTCTTGTTCCTTTTAATCACTACACTTGAGATTCTTAAGAGGTTTCTTGTTTTTTAATCTTGGATTTCTGTTATGCAAGAAACGCTTTCTTTTTATTCTTGCTGGCTTTCTTTGATAATTTGCATTTATGTTTGAAATGTAATTTCCGCGTTGGTTTTAATTTGGATTCTTGATAATTTTGCTTGGCTTTATATCTTCATCATTTGAGTCTAGGTTTATCTGTCAATATAACATTTGCATTCATATATAAAATGGCACTCAAGGAGTCTCAAGTCTGTTCATATTTATCGAGTTAGATAAAATGTTATGGTAAGTAATAAGTTAATAACTATTTCCTTCTTCTTTTCTTGTCCTAAAATTTCAGGCTACTCTAGGCGCTGGCTCATCATCGGAGAAAACCATTCTTCAGTGCTCTTCTGGACACAAAAGTCCAGTTTTCTTGTGTTCACTGATTCCGGATAAGATTGAGTCATGCCCTTTGAATCTCGAGTTTGATGCTGATGACTTGGTGGCATTCTCAGTGATTGGTCCAAGAAGCGTCCACCTTTCTGGTTTTTTTGCTGCTACTGATGGGGATGCCCTTAGGGATGACTATGAATAGTATCCTTCCGAATAACTTCCATTTGTTGACTTATTTGCATTGCAATTTAAGTTTTGTTCATATAGTTGTGATTAAGACATAGTGCTTGGTGTACCTTTTTTTAATAATCATCTTCTTGATTTCCTACTACAATGTGAAAGTGATTCATGGGGAGAGGATATTGAAGGAACTGAGACAGACGATTCATCTGAATTTGACAGTGAAGATGATGATATTGACATGTACCCATCTTCGCCCGTCCCAAATAGGGGAGGTATTTTCATTCTATTGTCAACTTTTCTTGAATCCATGAAATGATTATATATATTTTCTGATCTTTTCTTATGTTTCGTTTTCGTGTTATTATGTTGTTTTCTAACTGGCGCTCACTTGTGTTTTTATACATTCACAGAAATACAAATATTAAATCTCTATTAAAATAAATAACGAAATGTTATCCAATACACAAATTTTATGACTTTTTCCTGTAAAAATCAAGAATGATCCGATAAATTTTCATATGATTGTAAACACCCAGATACATGAAGTTCCACTGCTTTGTAGTTAAAAAGATTTTTTGATTGGAATCAACATGAATGACAGTATCCCCCCCCCCCTTTTCTTTCAGTTATAATTGAGGAAATAGTGGATGATGATGAACTTGATAGTGGAGATGATCCAATTAAGCGATTAAAGAATAAGAAACAGGTAGCTCAGTTAAAAGAGAAAGACAGCAAAAGTTCCAAGCTTCCAATTGTCTCTGACGGTGAGGTTGAACTTGTGGAAAGTGAAGATGAAGATGGTTTTCCAATTTCCACTGCAGAGAAAGCTTTGTCTGTCTCTCAGAAGGCAGAAGCCAGTAAGAAAACTGAGAAAGCCAACAAGAAGGGAAAAGATGCTGAGCATTCTGCTAACTTAAAAAGAAAAGTTGATAGTGCTGATGAAGATGAGCCACAGGATGGGTGAGAAAGATTTACCAGTTTAATTACTCCCGAGAATGGATTTCTTGCTGACATTTTCCCTTGCACAACCTATTCCTTTTTAGGAAAGAAATAATTTTGATTTTTAATCTATATTTGTGCTGGATGTTGTGTTGAAAATTTTTGATTATGGTAAATGGTTTCAGGAAAAAGAAGAAGAAAAAAAACAAGTTGAAAGAACATATTAAAGGGGAAAGTGCTCCTGCATCTGGCAATAGCAATGGGACAAATAATACTACACCAGCTGCAAAGCATCCCAAGGACGTTAAAACTACAATCAACCTGAGCGATCCTTCTCATTCAGGGGATGAACATGATGGGAAGCAATCCAATACGGAGTAAGAACTTTCAAATCAGTTACATTTCACAGGCATTTTGGTCTTACTGGTGTGAATGGTTTTTTTAAAATTACATCTATATTTAATTTTTCTATTGATATGCAAAGCCAAATTTCTTTTGTTTACTAAATCCTCAGAAACCCCAGTCAAATGAACTCAAAATTCTTTTATAGTGTGTTTGGATGAGGAATTTGAATGAAGTAATTCATTTTTTTTGAAGAATTTCAAATGCCTTGGGATGAAAATGCTTTGTTTGGATGAAGAATTTACAAAGAATTTGAAATGCAAGCATTTGTGAAGTTCTTTAAAATAGTAGAATTTTAAATTCTCCCAACAAAGTGAGAATTTAAAATTCATCATATTTTTCTTTCTTATCTCACCTATATATTTTTTATTTCTCTCCTATCTCCTAATTATTAAATATTTGTAAATATGTTTTAAATTACTAAATATTATCTAATATTAATTTTTAAAACTATTAAATATTTAAAAATGAATAATATTTATTTGTATAAAATTTAATTTTAAAATCTCAACATACATATATATATATATATATATATATATTTAAAATAAATTTTACCCATAATGAAAATCAAATTATCATATCCAAAGTAAGAACTTGATATTTTAGAAATTTAAATTGATTTATACAAATAAAACATTTAAAGAATGATGGAAATTGAAATCAAAGTAATTCAAATTTCAAAAATTTCAAATTTCTTGAATTTCTAAAATTCCTTATCCAAACACGCCATTAGAAATAACATGATGGAAACTTAGTTTGCCTTCCCATTTGATACCTTTACCTTCAGTAGATTGGAATTCTGCTCAATAAGATGTCAAATTGTCAGGTCTTGCTTGGTTTGTGGTAAATTTTGTACCAGTAGCGTGATTTCCAATTACCTTTTCTTCTCTTTGCTTGGGATATTGAAGCTTGGAAATTTAGGAAGCTGGGTTTCCTTCCCTTTTTGTTGTGCACTTATTTTTATGAACCGGTGTTCTAGCTGTTTTTGGGGTATTTGTTGGCAGGGTCCTTGCTGAGAAGAAAAAAAAGAAAAAGAAGAAAAAGACCAAGGAGTCTGAAGGGGTAGCTGCTGCAAATCAAACTACCCCAACTGCTGAAAAGCAGAATTTGTCTACCTCAGAGAAAAAGGGGAAAAAACAAATTGAAACCAAGCCATCTCAAGTGAGAACTTTTCCAAATGGATTGGTTATAGAGGAGCTGTATATGGGTAAACCTGATGGCAAAAGAGCTGCTCCTGGAAAGAAGGTTATTCATCATTTACAGATTTTTTGATGATTGAATTGAAATAGTGTACTGAAGAATAATTTCTGTTTAAGCTATATATTTAGTGTTATTTTTTTCAAAGAGGAACTTATTGTTTGATTTCAGGTCAGTGTTAAATATATTGGCAAACTGCAAAAAGATGGGAAAATATTTGACTCGAATGTGGGAAGAGCACCCTTTGGATTTCGGCTGGGTATATATTGTGTTGGTGTGTTGAATTTTGTGTGATTTTCCTTTGTATGTATGTTTCATCTATTTTCATTTTGTATTTTCAGGTGTAGGACAAGTCATCAAAGGGTGGGAGGTTGGGATCAATGGTAATATACAATATACAGTTATAATTATATTTTATGCTGTTTAATAAAATTCTTTATACTTATTGTATTTGTTGTGATTCAGGAATTGTGTGTTTTGTTGTACATACCAATTTTATTTATAGAGTGAATATAATAAATGATAGAGATACTAATCTCTAATATTATGGAAACTAATCTAATCATATCCCTAATTGATAGTGAGGATAATAATCATAATATATGTATCCACAATATCTGTAATATATTCACAATATCTCTAACACTCCCCCTCAAGCTGGAGCATATATGTCATATGCACCAAGCTTGTTACAAATGTAATCAACCTAAGGTCCTTTAAGCGATTTTGTGAACACATCTGCTAACTGGTCACTGGAGCGACCGGAGGTAACTGTCAGAGGCAGTGACCAGAGGCGGCGGTGACCAGAAGAGGCAGTCGGAGCCAGGGATCGGAGGCGACGGTCGGAGTCAGGGACCGGAGGCGGCGGTCGGAGTTGGGGACCGGATGTGGCGGTCAGAGGTAGCGACTGAAAGCGACCATTGGAAGCGGCGATTGGAAGCAATGGTCGGAGATGGCTATCAAAAGCGGCAGTCGGAGTCGGCGACTGGAAGCGAGTCAGGAGGCAGCGATCGTCGACGGCGTGGCGACCAGAGGTGGCAGTCGGAGGCGACAACTGGAGGCAGCAACCAGAGGCGACGGTCGGCAGTGCGGCGACCAGAAGCGGCAGTTGCCGGCGTGGCGACCCGAGGCAACGACCAATGGCGACAGTGTGACGACCAAAGGTGGCGGTCGGTGGCGCGGCAACTAGCAGCACACCGACCGAAGGCTGCGGTTGGATGTAGCAACCGAAGGCAGCAGTCGGTGGTGCGACGAGCGGAGGCTGCAACCGGCGGCGCAGTGGTCGGCGGCGGTCGGAGGTGGCAGCGAGGGCCTTTGCAAGAAGAGAGAAAAAATATATTCTAAAAGAAAAGAACCTAAGCTCTAGATACCATGTTGTGATTCAGGAATTGTGTGTTTTGTTGTACATACCAATTTTATTTATAGTGAATATAATAAATGATAGAGATACTAATCTCTAATATTATGGAAACTAATCTAATCATATCCCTAATTGATAGTGAGGATAATAATCATAATATATGTATCCACAATATCTGTAATATATTCACAATATCAGTAATACCCCCCCTCAAGCTGGAGCTTATATGTCATATGCACCAAGCTTGTTACAAATGTAATCAACCTAAGGCCCTTTAAGTGATTTTGTGAACACATCTGCTAAATGGTCACTGGAGTGACCGGAGGCAACTGTCAGAGGCAGTGACCAAGGTGACGGTTGGAGGCAGTGACCAGAAGAGGCGATTGGAGTTGGCGATCGGATGTGGCGGTCAGAGGAAGCGACCACTGAAAGCGGCGATCGGAGATGGCTATCAAAAGCGGCAGTCGAAGTCGGCGACTAGAAGCGAGTTAGGAAGCAGCGGTCGTCGACGGCGTGGTGACCAGAGGTGGCAGTCGGAGGCGACAACTGGAGGCAGCAACCAGAGGCGACGGTCGGCAGTGCGACGACCAGAGGCGGCGGTTGCCAGCGTGGCGACCTGCGGCAACGACCAATGGCGACAGAGTGACGACCAAAGGTGGCGGTCGGTGGCGCGGCAACCAGCAGCACGCCGACCGAAGGATGCGGTTGGATGTAGCAACCGAAGGCGGCAGTCGGTGGTGCGACGACCGTAGGCAGTAGCCGGCGGCACAGTGGCCGGCGGCGGCCGGAGGTGGCAGCGAGGGCCTTTGCAAGAAGAGAGAAAAATATATTCTAAAAGAAAAGAACCTAAGCTCTAGATACCATGTTGTGATTCAGGAATTGTGTTTTGTTGTACATACCAATTTTATTTATAGAGTGAATATAATAAATGATAGAGATACTAATCTTTAATATTATGGAAACTAATCTAATCATATTCCTAATTGATAGTGAGGATAATAATCATAATATATGTATCCACAATATCTGTAATATATTCACAATATCTGTAACTGTAGTTTTCTTGATTTTGTCAGGGATGAGGATTGGGGATAAAAGAAGGATCACTATTCCACCATCTATGGGGTATGAATTCTCAACTTCATCTTTTATTTGAAATTGAAATATTTCATAAACTTAACCAACATAAAGCATCAGAATATGCACCTTTTGCTTTCTTGCTCTACCTCACTTTAAAGGAGCTAAACATTGGTTTATGAAATACATTAAATTACATTTACTATTTGAATTGGATGTAAGTTGTTCGTTGTGTGGATGACGCCGATTGGTTTAATTTGGTTTTGATACGCAGTTACGCGGACAAGCGCGTTGGGAGTATACCACCAAATTCGTGGCTTGTATTTGATGTTGAGTTGGTTAATGTTGATCGCTGAGTGGCTTCCAACTCTAAAGTCCTTGCATTCTTTTACTATCCCTCACTGGCTCAGGAAATTTTAACCATTTTTGGTTCAAACTGGGTCGTTTTGAGACCACATTAGACCTCAAGTTTTGTAGGAAATTCTGGATTGAATTAGGGAATTCTCACCTTCACGATTATAAACATGCAAATATATAGTTGGTAATTGCTTTCATTATCAATATAATGCTGATCATCAAATGTGGGTTTCATTTGGGATGTACGATTATCATGCCTATTATTTTCTTTTTATGTTTAATTGTATTTTTTTTATCCTTGTTTAGTTTGTGTTATATTGGTTTTTAAAATTTATAAAGCTCCCTTCAAAAAAAATTTTTTATAAAGCTAATCAAGTCTTTTTATTCTTAAAACTTTCTATTGATTTTTTTAATCTAAAATTTTAAATTTTGAATTTTTATTCAATTATTTTTTAAACTTAGATTCTTTTTATATCAATTAATTTGTTTTATACTTTTTTTAAATTATAACTTCATTAAATTTCTTGATTTTGAAAGTTTAAATTTATGTTACAATTTTATAAAATTTTAAATGTTTGGATTAGCAAATAATGATGAGTTTTAAATTAAAAGTGGGTTTAAATTGTTTGATTTTAATGGCAATAGATTGGTGGATGCATAATGAATTATGCTGGACCTTTATTGATGTCGTAAAATTTTTTTATGGATAAGAAAAATTTAAAGTATATCTATAGTTTTATTTAAAGAAAAAATGTGTGTAATACTTGATTTTATATGCAAGTTATAAAATCATTTCACAGTATCTATACTTCTGTTTGTCTAAGGAATATTCACTGTCTTTCTTGCAGGGACCGTTATTAATATTTTCTTTAGTATGGAGGTTATTATTAATTAAACAATTGTGATAAATTAACCTTATGTAATTATTATACAAATTTACAATTTTTAATTATATAATTACATGAGAGTTCAATAAATAAGTAGTTGATTTAAGTCGTATTAGATTTGGTTTTCTTTTAAAGATATCAAGTTTGAGTTAGTTATGCAAAAACTGTAATTGTTTGGGAAAATTTTTATTAAAGGTGCTTTGTTAAGTTGTTTAGAAAAGGTTTAGTGATTGATAAAATCGATGGGAACTTCATGTAATATGATTATTAAAAAAAATAACTCAAATTATTTACATTCTAAATAATAGTGGAATGGAGGGTTTTGTATCTTTATATTTTATTTAATAAAAGTATTTAAAAATTATTAATATTTATTAGATTAATTGATACTACACTATTTAGTCATTTAATTCTTAGGTTTAAATATTGTATTTGTAAGGATGAATAATTTTTAATTTTATTTTTATTATTTAAAAATTTAAGAATAAAATTATCTAAGAAAAATGTGCGGACCAAATTAAGTTAGTCTTTATATATATTATAGATAAATCAAGTAAAAAATTTGTTCTTATTATTTTTTTCAAATTCGATTTTAGTTCTAATTTGAAGAGAGAAATGTTAACTGTAACAAATTGTATAATAATTCTTTTTTATGTCATTTTTTCTTCATCACTTTGTTTGGGCCAAAATAGACACAAATAGGATTGTACAAATTATTATTATTATTTTATACATATATATAATATTATATTACTCATCTGAAAATGCACCGCTTAATTATTTTTAAACATTATCTAAGCTACATTTTAAGGATCGGATGCAATGCATTTTCAAATAAGAGAAAGCAACATAAAACTAAAAGAAATTGAAAGACAAACTGAATTTTAAAAACTTAGAGGGAGTGGAAACGTTTTGAGCTCGATGCAGATGGTTATGCTTTAAATTATTATCAAACAAATAAAAATTATTCAATGTATCGAAACTTAAATCACCCTAAATTTTATTAACCCCAGGGCAGATGATGCACAAGGACCTGCTCGACGTAAAAAGTTGACTAGGCATTTTATCACAAATAATGCAAAATCTGGTAACTGAAATGGCTGGCACTGGGGAACAGAGCAATGAGATCCGATGTGCCAAAGATGTAAAATGACCATTCGAAAATAACTTGTAATAATTTTAGTGTAAAGAGTTCAATTTTTCTGCTTCATCTGGCAACTGTAGCAAGTTTCTGCTTCTAAAACAACAATAGCCATCTATAAATGAATAAAATCTATTTTAACTTCTATTCAGTATACATTCCCAACGATATTCAACTCCTCGAAATCTTCCTCAGATGAAACAAACTCTTCACTTCTTACATAACCAGCATCTTTCATTAGCTCATTCAACCCATCCATCAAAGGGTAAATCTCAGATGCATGAGGGTTGGAAGTGTCCCCAACCAAAAAGGGAGAGAACTCATTGCCAATATCAACCCAAGCACAACCAGGAGCCTTCCTCACACCCAAATTCCTCATATAAGTCCTCACCTCTGCTAGTTTGCTCCAACAACCAGCAGCTGCATACATATTCGCAATCAGCACATGATAACCCGAATGATCCGGCTTCATTTCCAGCAACTTTCCGGCTGCCCATTCCCCCTGCACCATGTTTCCATGGATTCGACACGCTCCTATCAGCGTTGCCCACATCGCGCAAGTTGGCTTGTATGGCATCCCTGTGATAACCTTCTTTGCTTTGTTCAGAAAACCAGCCCTCCCAAAGAGATCAACCATGCAGGCATAGTGCTCAAGGCGTGGAACTATCCCATAAACATGTATCATCCTTTTAAACAGCATTTGCCCCTGCACTACTAGTCCAGAATGACTACAAGCCGTTAGAACCGCGACCATTGTTACATGATCTGGCTTAATCTCCAACTTGCACATCTCTTCAAACAGTTTCAGAGCCGTTTCTCCATCACCCTTCATTCCGTATCCCGTAATCATGGAAGTGTACGTAACTTCATCTCTTGTGCTCAATGAATCAAACACTTTTCTGGCTTCCAAAACTTTGCCAGACCTTGCATACATGTCCACCAGGGCATTCCACAATAACAAGTAGTCCTTAAACTGCTCACGCTTCATAATGTAGCAATGAAACTCTTTGCCATGCTGCAGATTTGCTATGCGAGCACAAAGAGGAAGAACGCTTGCAATGGTCACGTAATTAGGTTCCATGCCTTTCTGTAACATCTCTCTGAAAAGGAAGGTGACTTCCTCGGATCGATCCATGTGGGCATATCCAGAGAGCATGGCATTCCAAGTGATCAGACCTTTTTCTTCCATTTTATGAAACAACATAAATGCATGCCCGAGATCTCTACACCTGGAATACATAGTAATCAACGCATTCCTCACATTGTCAAACACATCAAAGCAAGTTCGCACTGCGTGACCGTGAATCTCCTTGCCCAATTTAAGGGCTCCAATGTGGGAGCAAGCGTTTAACCCAACAACCATGGCAACAGCATCCAGATGAATGGATGATCTCATCTGAGAAATCAGCTTGAGCGCGCCTCCGAAATTGCCGGAATGCAAGCACCCCCCAGCAATGGTGTTCCATATGATCACATTCATCTCAACACCCTCCTCCCGCATGCTTCCGAACAGCTGAAACGCTTCCCTCCACATACCCCTAGAGGCATAACAGCTGATTATAGTGTTCCAAGAAACAGCATCTCTAGTTGGCATTTTATCAAACAAGTGGCGCGCAACCTCCAGTTTCCCAAACCTGCCATACATGGAAACCAAAGCATTATGCACAAACAAGCTCCACTCCATGCATCTACCCTCAATGGACTTATGAACCTCCACCCCAGTATCCAAATCCAATGATTCCCCACACGCCTTAAGAACAGACGGGTAAGTGTACTCATCTGGTTCAATCTTCCTACTCAACATTTTCTTATAAACAGAAAGAGCCTCCGCAAAGAACCCATTTTTTACATAAAGCGAGATAACCATATTCCAATGCAAAGGATCGAAACTATTAGAACTCTCGGCGACAAATTGGGCATCGGTGAGGAGGTTAACATTTGTGTAAAAAGTAATGAGCTTTGGAACCAAAATATGATTTTGATGAAGACCCAGTGAGAGGATATGAGCATGAAGCTGCTTACCCTGTGAGAGTGAGGTGTGATTGGCGCAAGCGAAGAGGAGGGAGCTAATGGGGTGCAAGAGAAGATGGGAAGAAGGGGCATGGTGCTGAATTTGGGAGAAGGTTTTGAATGCGTTAGATAAGTGGCCATGAGTGACAAAGTCCTTGAGGGACGCAATGAGAAGACCAACCATAGATGCATGGGCATGGCTAGAGGCGATGATGGGTTTGAAAAGTGGTTTGGGGGTTTGTTTCCATGATTTGGGGATGCACTTTTGAAGGCGAGAGAAGAAGAGGTGTGTGGGTATACAAGGGAATGAGGAATGTGGCATAAACTAATGATCATGCTATATGCCATATGACAGGACTCAACCACATCTCTTCTCCTTCTCCTTCTCCAACATTGCAAACCAGGGTTTGACCCTACCAACATTTCTACTTCCATACTTCTTCAATTTCACTAAATAGGCTACTATGTGTATAATATATTTATTCATTTTTATAATTAATTATTTTTCAAATTACATTTTTACACACTTTATTGTTACATTAATTTATTATTAATTGATTATTAATGTGATATATTAATTATTAATGTGATATGTTAATTATTAACATAATATCTTATGCTATGTCAATATTTATATGTTAAATTCAATTAACAATCTATAAAATGTACCACATAATTATTTTATCAAATTATTATACAAAAATTCAAATACTTTGTTATTAAATAAGATAATTGACAAATTTATTAAAGAAAAAGACATGATATTATTCTATAACTTTGAATTGCCTTTTTATGTATTCAAAGGACAACTACAAACAAGAAGCACTCAATATTAGAATCATGAATGTGAAAGATGTAACAAAAATAATAAACTAAAATGATAGAAATTTTTATTTTTATTTTTTTGAGGAAACAATTATTAAAGATCATTATAAATTCTTGCGTTATTTAATGTAATAAATTATATGATGAGTCAAATTACCAAGAGTATTTTTGTAAAAATAACCTTTTTAATTTTTCTATAATTCTCCTTCCATTACATCATTCATTTATTTATAATTTATTATAATTTTTTATTTTATTATGATTTTCTTCACAAAAAGCTGGTAAAGAATGTTTGATTTTTGATAGTCTTATTAATCTCTTATTTATCATTTATTTAATATCTTTAGAAAATTATTCTCTATCTTCTTAGATATAAATCATCGAGCTTCCATAATTTTTTCTTTTCATTTTTTCTTTGATTTTGGTATTTAATGGATATTATAATTTATTAATAAATATTTCTTTAGTTTGATTGTTTAGCCGATAATAATATTTTTTATATTCAAAAATAAAATTATCTATTTTACACATGTTACATATTTGAATTTTATTTGAATGTGATTTTGTCTTTTTATGTAAAAAATTATTTACTCATTTTTTTTTAATGTTCAAACATATTATAATCAATAAAATTCTGATACATTAAATTTGTTATAATTTTTGCTAAGTCTTAGGCAGTATTTATCTCTTTTTTTTCTTCTCTATATTATATCATTGTTCATTTTCTATTGATGATAAATATTTTAATACATTTCCAAAGGTTTTATACATAATAAAATTACTTACATCTATTACGCCTAATACCTGATATAATAAAATTTTCAGAACCAGAAAATACAGATAAAAACAAAGAATCTGAAATAAATAAATTATTTATACAAGTAAAAAACCTTGCAAAAATAATTGTTGAAAAAAATATGATGACATATGTTTTAGATAAATATTTACTCAGAGAGATAGAAAAAATACTAATACGGTTATTGACTTTTCCTAAAGAAATAAGAGAAAAGATAATGAATATATTAATAGAAGACTGTTTTATAGAAGAACTAGAGCAATTAGAAATAGAAGAAAATAGAAGAATTATAAATGAGTTAATAGAAAGAGAAGAATTTTCTAATTTTAATAATAGAATGATAAAATGTACCAAAATTTGTAAATGAGTTGCTAAATGTACAATTTTAAAAATTATATACTAAAATTAAAAAAAAAATCGTAAAACTTTGATGATAAAAATACAATTAAGTCAAAATCACGTTAATACAAATTATTATTATTATTTTGTTGTTATATATAATTTTTTTTATTTTTATGATAATTACCATAAAATTTATATCGATGATAATTTTTATTAGTTGATATTTGAGAATTTAAAAGTTTTATGATGATATCCATAATGATTATTCTTACTAATTTTTCTTACAATTAATTATAATTGAAATAAATAATTGTTTGAATTTTTTTTATAAATAATTTTAAACTTAAATTTTGTTGAAATATAATTAAAAAGAATAGCTTTTATATGATATACTAATTTTAAGGAGCAAAATCACTTTAACTTCAAATTTTTATACATATCAAGTAACTTAATTTTCAGAATTTTTTAATAATTTTTTTGAACTAAATATACAACTTTTTTTTAATAAATATTTTTAAAAACAATTTCTTTATATATGTTTTAGAGTCAATTAAGAAAGATAAGGAGTAAGTATCCTCTCCATTTATTTCTCTTAATTTTTTAAATCTATTTTTATGATTTGAAGTATTTAAAGAACACTAAATATTCATCAAGTATTTTTTGTACACTCAAAATTATAATAATGAAAAAATAAACAATAACAAAAGACAGAGAATATAAGTTCGACAGAGAAATTGTGCCAAAAATCTAATTAGATTTATTCACTATCCATTTCTATTTTTGACCTATTTTCATGCAATTAAACACGGGATAAAAGTGTTTTATAAAATAAAAACTAATCTCAAGGTTTAATTAAGACATGTCCTGTCTCATTAACTTGGTCTTTCACATATTTTAGATATTTGAATTCAGTTTAACATTGTTATTTTTTAAATATAATATATTTAAATAATTATATTTGAAAAATATATATTTATATAATTTTTTAATGTGTTTATCTTTAAATATCATATTATTAAATATCACATTACTTAAATATTAATAAAATAATATATCATAAATCAATGTTAGAATTTAAACTATATTATTTTAAAGGATTAGAATTACAAATTAATAAAATTAAAAATGTAATTTAACTTATAACACGCTGTCGTTGAGAAGATATGTGTAGGTGATCCATGTGCAACAACCCGATCTAGGTGAAGAAGGCCCAAAGGTACTGATGGAAGAGCATGGGCTAAAGGTCCAACCACTAGAGTTATGGCCAGGAGTTTACTTGAAGACTTGTCTGATTCAGAGCTTAGTGGGCCCAATGGGCTTGGTGGGCCTAGGGTGCTTCTCACTTGGGCTTTAATAGATTGACACCATGTTTATATTGTAATTTCATAGAATAGGGATTTACTTTATTTTGGTCTTGTATTTGACCTTAGATTAGAGTTTGTACACTTTGGGCTTATAATTGGGCTTCATGGGCTTTTGGGCGTTTGACACCCAATATTAGGCTCATTCTCCTTTTTTGTAATTTTTCCTTTTCATTGTATTTCATTGACCATTGTATTTAGGTCATTAGATTAGGATTTAAGGAGGAGTTATTAATTCAAAGGATTAGGCAACATTAAGTTTAATTTAACTTGCATTTAAGTTGAATTTGGAGTCACATGGTTTGCGCCACCTTGGCTGAACATGTGTGACTCAAATTCAACCCTAAATGCAACTTAAATCCAACCTAAATGTATACTTAGCACATGGGACCGGTGAATCACATGTGGGTTAAGTTTTGAATTCAAAATTCAAATTTGAATTCAAAACTTGGCGCCACATGTGAAGCCTCCACATTGGCGCCAAGTTGACCTAAATCCGGATAACATATAAGCTTCCCTCCTTATCTATTGTATTCACTTTTTGAGCTAATGAAATTTGAGAGCATTTTATGCCAAGTTTCCTCCAAAAGTCACCGAGAGTTCTAACTTCAAAACCCTAGGATAATTCACCTTAATCCTACCTTTTGAAGTGAGCTTTCCTTTGCTCCTTAAGCTTGGATGCTTCCATCCATAGCCTAGGAAATCTTAGTTCCGAAAATCTTCCTCCAATCAAGTGTTCTAACATTCGGTTCAAGTCTCTTTGAAGAGGATCCATACATAGGTGAAGCTAAGGAGAGGAATACCTACCACTTCTCCTTCCTTTGCCATCATTTTTGGTATCAAGAGCAAGGTTCTTCAAGGAGATAAGTTTTCTTGTGTTTGAACCGTGTGTCTTGTTGTTCTTTGTGTTCTTGTTTTCTTGTTTGAGTTTCTACTCGGATCTATTTGATTTGAATTAATTTTGTTCCATAGATCCATTGTTTGATTGTATTTAAATTTCTTCCACAATCAATATGTTTAGGACCTATTTGCTTGTGCTTATTTTTGTATCTGTTTGAGTCTCTCAATTCCTAGCATGTGTCCGTGATTGGACTTCATACATTTGCATTAGATTTTTGTTTTGAATCCTTGTTTTGTCTTAGTAAGTTGCAAATTCCTTGAATAGCATGTTTAACCTAGTTTTCTTTTGAGTTGATTGTCTATATTGTGGTCTCGGATTGCTTAATCTTTGTGCCTACCTATATGTGCTTTTTGTTTTACCTTATTGAGTTCATAATTTGCTATTAGTTCTAGCAAATTTCTTAGAGTTAGGTTTCCATTGTGTACTTAAGTTTTCAAATCACTTTCTATAAAAAAATTCTTGAAACAATTTTGTGTTACTTAAAATTTCAAGTGATTCATCCTACTTCTAGTGCACTATTTCCTTTGGATTCAAATTTTAAAAGTGTAGTGGCTGGAAAACAGAGAAAAATACAGAGTATGATGTTTCAAAATGGTTAAAAAAAAGTGAACAAAAGAATCCAATCAAAAACCTAAAAACTAGTGCACTAGTTCCACCATTTTTACTTGAAATTTGACAAACTAGTAGTCTTGGTTTCTATACATTGGAATTGTGAAAATTTTGAAAACAAAAGGCAAATGTCTTCTCTGGAATCTAAATTTGAATTCAGACAAAGAAAAGAATAAAAAAAATATATATAAAGTATTTTTAAGAGTAAAAGCCAAGAAGAGCAAAAACAAGAAAATTACACTAGATTCCTCAAATTTCTTTGGACTACTATTTTGTTTGTTCTTGTTCAATTGCTTCCAAAAAAATTTTGTGTTGTTAATCTACTCTAGTACCTATCTAGGAACCTTCCTAACTGAGTGCTAGCTTTCATTGGAGTCTTATTTTTCAGCTTTCTTTGTTGGATATCCTTGAGTCTTGTCTTAAACACTTTACTCTTCACTTTTTGGTATAAGCTTTATAAATTGTGCTTTTGTTGCTTGTCTTGTTTTCTTTGACTAAACATTCTGTGTTGGAAGTGGCCTCAAATCCTTGCTTAAGGATCAAACATTGACTCAACAAAAAGTAGGAAAAGATTTGGACATTAAAAGACTTCAAAATTTGACCTAATTTAGTGACCAAACTTTTCCTAAACTACCTTCACAAGAGTGATCATTCCTTTAACCTTGTGAGCAGCCTACATTAACCACTTTGTTGTTTTCATTGTGCAGGGTCCAGGAGCAAATCAATTCAAGGGTTAGTGGCGGATTGGAACACTTAAACAAGTGTAAGAAAAATTGGACAACAAATCTGTCACTAATTTGGTCACTAAAGCCGCCATTAATTGTTTTCTAGGATAGTTTAAATTTTTGCAAATTCTCTTGTATTTTAAATCAATTTGTAAAGCTTGGAGGGAGTATTAAGAAGCTGGTCAGGTATATCTAACCCTTCGTAGCTTACTCACGTGTAGTGCTAGTGGAAGTGGCTTGGAAATTTCATATGTTTCAAGCTTCCACTTAGGGCAAACCGACTAGTTGCTTATCCTTGCTTCCTTTAAGTTGTTTGATCTTTAAATTGTTTACTTTGCTGCCTTCATTCGACTAGCACTGTGTAGCATTTACTTGTTCACGTTTAGATAGTTCAAAACAATTGAGAAAAGCATCCAACATAAAATTTTTTGTGAAAATCTTTGTGGAATTGAAAATACCACAAGGGAGTTTAGTGATTTCCACTTGAAAAGGCTTGGTTATTAAGTGGCTCTTAGTAGCTCACCTCCCTTGATAGTGCAACTTGTACACTTAGACTTCCAAGTGCTATTTTTGTTCCTAGAAAATACCAAAAATATTTTATCTCTTTTGCATAGCATCTAAAATTCTTATTGCTTAACCATGAGTCATATTTCTCAAAGTGATAGTGACATTGAATCTCCTAAAAGTTTTAATCAAATTGTTAAGGAGGTTGAAGCATTAAAACTATGGAAACAATAAGAGGTACTTCAAAAAGAAAGAGAAAAGATTGAAAGAGAAGTACAACTTGTTGCTCTTGAGAAAAAGATAAACAAAATTAAGCAACAAGAAGAAAAACTTTAAAAAAAAATTAATAAAAGAAAAAGTCAAAAGAGTTCTACCAAAAGTTATAATGCCTCTACAAGCCAAGAGGATGTAGGTAGTTTGAATGTTGATGCATATTACCAACCTACACCTATAAGAGTCATTAAGGAACCCAAAGTGAGGGAATCAAGGGTTGATCTCCCTTACTTTCATGGAAAAGAAGATGTGGATGCCTACTTAGATTGGGAAATGAAAATGGAGCAAATCTTCACTTGTCATCAAGTAGGTGAGGAAAGAAAAGTTCCCTTGGCCACCTTAGCTTTCCAAGAACAAGCTATGTATTGGTGGACATCCTTGGAGAGAGAGAATCACTTATTGGAATGAGTTGAGGAGTGCTATGAGAAGAAGGCACATACCTTCTTATTATAGTAGGGAGCTTATGGATAAGCTCCAAAGACTCCAACAAAAGAATATGAGTGTTGAGGAGTATAGACAAAAGATGGAGTTGTATCTCATGAGGGCTGGCATAAGGGAAGAGGAAAGATTGACCATTGCTAGGTTTTTAAGTGGTCTAAATTTTGATATAAGAGATAGAGTTGAGTTACTCCCTTATAGGGACCTTGATGATTTGGTCCAACTTTGTATAAGGGTGGAACAACAAAATTTGAGGAAAAATTCTTTCAAAGGCAAAACTCAAGCTAACTCATATATCAAGAAGGACTACAAGAAGGAGGGTCAATATGATTCTTCTAAGAAATTTAGCAAGGGTCTAGAAAAAGAAAAAGAAAAAGATAAAAATAAAAATATTGTCACTTCTAGTAGTAAAACTAGTGACATCAAATGCTTTAAATGTCTTGGGAGAGACCACATAGCTTCTTAATGTCCAACTAAAAAGGTCATGATTTTGAGAGGACAAGACATTTATAGTAGTGTTGATGAATCTAGTTCTACCCCTTCAAGGAAAATGACTTTTAAAATCGGAGTTTTAAAATCAGTCATAAAGTAGCCATTTTAAAAGTGACGCGGTGGCATGTACTGCAACAGAACGACCCCAGAACGGGCAGTACTGCTTGCAGAATGGGTCGTACTGCTTGCAGAACGGCCCATTCTGGTATCGTTTCAGACTAAAGTTTACATGCTTATACAGGATAAGGAGGGTGCGGGGAAGGGAAGTGTAAATTTAGGAATTTCATTTTTTTAAAAGGTAATTTAGATATTTTATATATTTTTTTTAAAAAAGGGGATGTGTTGATACGAGAGTGGAGGTGTGTTTAAGATCTGCCATCACTTGTATATGTCCTTTACCCATTCAAGGCCCAATTTAACTCGTATGAATTGAAGCCCAAAACACTGTTTATTTTCTCAATTTTCCCGCCAAGAAAAAGAAGTTTTCTGGTCCAAATAAAACAGTGGAAGAAGAAAAGGAAAAGGGAAGCGAAGACGACGTCGGAAACGGGATGCACGGAACACCGGGAGAGACGGAACAGATAATAGGATACGGTTTGGGATCCGTATCCATGGACCCGTTCGGGTTAATGGATATACTTGACACTTACTTTCCTCAGCAACTCTTCACCATCGAAGAAACCTGGTTCAATCTCACTTCTGCTCTCGTTTCCTTCTTCTCTTCGCCGACGGGACAAAACCTCGCTTCTCAGGCACCGCAATTTCTCTTCCTTTATCCACTCTTTCATTTCCTCTTTTCCGAATTGTATTTGAGATAGATTCGTTGAATCCGTTCCCTGAGGCACTTAGGAATTTTAAATATTCAATAACACCTGGATTAGGTTTCTGATTCGTGTTTGCGATATTGCGTTCGCTAATTACGGCATTTGTTGTCTTGTCAGTAACAAGCTATTAATGGGTAACGAAGTTACGAACGAATGCATTCATTAAGATCACAAATAAGCAAAATGAATTTGTATATTAAAGGCCTGTTTGGATTCAAACTAGATGTACTTTTGAGAGTTTTTCCACTGGGAAAAATTATTTATGTTCAGAAGAGAATCTCTCAAAAACACTTTTAAGTTTGTATGCAAACAGACTCTAAAAGGAACATCTGAAGAAGCATCTATTGAACACATTAAATTTGTTTGTTATGGAAACTAGAATACTGAATAAAGTAAGGACGGAATACGGTTCAGTGTTGGGTAGCTTTAGTTAGTGAAAACACGGGAAGGAGAAAATTTTCTCATTCGGATTTTAAAGCTTTCTAAGCACCGTTGTTTTGGACACAGTGATATAGTGAATATTTGATTTGAGTTATGCTGACAGGTGAAAAATGATTATGGAAACTATGTCTTGTCACTTGACTTGGAGCAGTTGAAAGGCTTATGTTTTATTAAGGAATTTTATGAAATATTAAAGGAGAAACCTAAAATTGCTCTCTTATGCATGGGTGCTGCCGTTCATAAGGTATGCTTGAAGTCACGCCAGTTCTTGCGCAAACAAGTGCTTATCTAGTGTTGGCCAAGGTTTTATATTGTTTAAATAATAAATTGGAAACAGGTTTTGCTTTCCAAATGGAAATATCACGATCTGGAGCTTGGTGCAAAGGTAGATATTCGTCTTCATAACTGTCCTGAAACTATGATTGCGCTGAAGAACTTAAAAGCAGCTTACATTGGTATATCATCTATTCATTGTAGTGATTTTTGTAAAAAAAAAAATTCTTGCTTGCCAAGGTTGGAGCTTTCCCGTTGTATAGGAAAAAGAATCATTTTAATATTTTATCATCTGTTGGTGATTTTACAGACAAGCTTGTCTCAGTTCGCGGTACTGCTGTGAAAGTCAGCACTGTCAGGCCTCTGGTGGTGGAAATGAGTTTCGAATGCTGTAAATGTAAACAAACAATAACGCGTATATTTCCTGATGGAAAATATTCTCCACCATCTACTTGCAATTTGAATGGCTGCAAGAGCAAAATCTTTAATCCGTTGCGATCAACTGCTCAAACTATTGATTTTCAAAAAATAAGGTGAGCCTGGTGCTTGACTCATTATCTCTATTCTTTCACATACATTTGGCATCCCTTTCCCCTTACTCATTCGTTGGAGCTTCATTCCTTTAAAACCCTTTTTTAATGCACGTGCTGCACTAGAGTTCAAGAATTATTAAAACCTGAAGACCACGAAGAAGGACGCGTGCCTCGAACAGTGGAATGTGAGCTTACTCAAGATCTTGTTGATACATGCATACCTGGAGACGTGGTGACTGTTACTGGAATTATTAGTTTTTTTTTTTTTTTTTTGCTTTAACGATGATGAATAAGAATAACTCAAGGATGCTTGGTTTGATTGAAACTCGAACACAACAGTAACACGTCTTACGTGTTGTCGCTAGGACCCTGTTAATATGATCACCAGGAGGAAGAGGATAAAGTCGCTGTTTTCATGTTGGACTCACTTTAAATGTTTGGGCCTTCGGATTAATGTTTCTTGGCAGATCATAAACATTCCTCTACTTAGTATAAACACACCTCCTTTTTTTTAAAAAATATATATAAAATATCTAAATTATCCTTTTAAAAAAAAGATGAAATTCCTAAATTTACACCTCCCTTCCCCGCACCCCACACTCCACACTCCACACTCCACACTCCTCTTCTTCCCAAAGCCTCTTTCCGCTCAATATCATTAAGCAATATACTTTTACAGTCATTCTGAATAGAAAAAAAGAACTAGCCCCACCATAACCAGCATAAGAAAGGTTCTTTCACAGTCATTAGCATTCCGGAAAATACTTTTACAGTCATTAGCATTCCGGAAAGTACTTTCCGGAATAGTAAAATTATTGTTCATATAATTCCGGAAAGAACTTTTCGTAATAGTAACTTTAATATTATGGAAAGTATTTTCCGGAATTATGTAACAAAACATTTCCGGAAAATACTTTTCGAAATAAGAATTTAATATTATGGAAAGTATTTTCCAGAACATTTTTATATAATTCCGGAAAGAACTTTTCGTAACAGTAAGAAGAAGAAGAAGAGGATTGCCAGAAAGAGAAAGAAGATGGGCGTGCGAGGTGCGGGAAAAAAGAAGAAGAAGAGGAGTGCTAGAAAGAGAAAGAAGAGGGATGCGCAATGTCAGCAGGTGGTCTTGTAAGAGAAATACTCTTACTTGTTCTATGCAAAGACACACTAGTACAAAAATGACTTTTAAAATCAGAGTTTTAAAATCAGTCATAAGGTAGTCATTTTAAAAGTGACGCGGTGGCCTGTATTGCTTTCAGTACGACCCGCACTGCAAGCAGAATGGCCTGTACTGCTTGCAGAACGGGCTGTTCTGCAAGAAGAACAGGACGTTCTGAAATCAGAACGGCCCGTTCTGGTGCAGTTGTAGTGCGGGGAAGGAGGGTGCGGGAAAGGGAGGTGTAAATTTAGGAATTTCATTTTTTTAAAAGGTAATTTAGATATTTTATATATTTTTTAAAAAAAAAGGTGTGTTTGGAGGTGCAGTACTGCTTGCAGAATGGGTCGTACTGCTTGCAGAACGGCCCATTCTGGTATCGTTTCAGACTAAAGTTTACATGCTTATACAGGATAAGGAGGGTGCGGGGAAGGGAAGTGTAAATTTAGGAATTTCATTTTTTTAAAAGGTAATTTAGATATTTTATATATTTTTTTTAAAAAAGGGGATGTGTTGATACGAGAGTGGAGGTGTGTTTAAGATCTGCCATCAACATTAGGTTTAATTTAACTTGCATTTAAGTTGAATTTGAAGTCACATGGTTTGCGCCACCTTGGCTGAACATGTGTGACTGAAATTCAACCCTAAATGCAACTTAAATCCAACCTAAATGTATACTTAGCACATGGGACCGGTGAAGCACATGTGGGTTAATTTTTGAATTAAAAATTAAAAATTAATTTCAAACCTGGGCGCCACATGTGAAGCCTCCACATTGGCGCCAAGTTGACCTAAATCCGGATGACATATAAGCTTCTCTCCTTATTTATTGTATTCACTTTTTGAGCTAATGAAATTTGAGAGTATTTTATGCCAAGTTTCCTCCAAAAGTCACCGAGAGTTCTAACTTCAAAACCCTAGGATAATTCACCTTAATCCTACCTTTTGAAGTGAGCTTTCCTTTGCTCCTTAAGCTTGGATGCTTCCATCCATAGCCTAGGAAATCTTAGTTCCGAAAATCTTCCTCCAATCAAGTGTTCTAAGATTCAGTTCAAGTCTCTTTGAAGAGGATTCGTGCATAGGTGAAGCTAAGGAGAGGAATACCTACCACTTCTCCTTCCTTTGCCATCACAGCGCCCCATAACCGTTGACAGTTGGGCGTTGTTTGGCATTTCATAATGGACGGTGCTGGTCATTTTCATTTTTCATTAAATCAATTGCCACAAACGCAAATAGCACCTACCCAACCCAACAACATTATTCCATCTTTGTCCTCAATAAAAGCAAGAGCGCGTTATTACCATATTTATCAACCGACCAAGAGAGAGAGGAGGCTATATTCGCGCGTCTTTCTCTTTATTTCTCTGCCACCACCACCACATCTCTCCGTGTCTCTGTCTTCGTCTCCGATTTGCATTCTCCATTCTCATCAGATGCCGTCGCTACTCACGTGATCTGACCTGGTTTCGAGGCGCGACCCACTATTTTGAAATCGTGCAATTTAGTCCAGAATCGCGATTTTTTCGATTCACGCCATGATACGCACGATTCACATTCGATTCTTGATCAAAAACGAGACGACTTGCGATTCAAATCGCGAAGCCTCTTACTACCATGTCGGCGACATCCTAAGAAACAAATATAAAATCTGAAAAGGTAAATATAGTATGGTGTTCTCTCTTAATTCTGACTTTAATAGGCTAACTATATAATATTTCCTTGTATTCGTATCTCTTTTCTTGTTTTTAGGGTCAGGTTCGGATAAGACATGCCTTGCATTGGGCCAAGGTATGTGCATTGAATCACGGGTTACCGGAAAAATAGCAACAGAAGCTGAAAAATACTCCATTCAGCTTGATGTTGACGAGGGAGGATGATAAAAATATTCGTATCAGCAATTTATTGCTGTTAGAGCTTGTCAGCAGGTAATAATTTATGTTGAATATTTTTTTTTGTTTTAAATTTTTTATTTTGCTGAATGAATTTTTTTTTTGCCTTTTTTTACTGCAGTTGGAAGCCAGAAAGTGAATCCTTTCTAATTCAGGACAACTTGATAAATTTTTCTGTTAAAGATGTCACAGTTATACTTGGCTTGCCAAGTGTGGGTGCTGACATAAATTTGAAACAGACGGGTGATGATTCTATTGTCCATAATTTATGTGATAAAAAAGTTTCTTATGAAAAATTAGTATCAGTGATGGAAACACTGAAATGTGATGATGATGTGGAGAAATTTTGTAGGTTGCATATTGCTGCTGCTTTTTTAGAATTTTATTTTCCCACGTCTGGGTCCTTGCTTGATTTTCCGTTAAAATACCTAGATGATCTTAATCATCTATGAAATTTTAACTGGGCAAAAGCTATGCATGAAAATTAGTATCTTCCTTGAATTATGCATCAAAAAGACTCACTCATTCTCCAACTTAAATTGATTTAAATGGATGTGTGGCTGTTTTGAATGTATGGGTCTTTGAGCATTTATGCTCATCTAAGAGGCCAAAGACAGAAAAATTCCCCCAAGTGTTACAGTGGTTGAATAAAAGTTACTTTACGGATAAGGAGTTGAAGCAAAAATTTAATGAATTTGAGCTTTTTCAAACATTGTCCCCGTTTGACCACGAGCTGAAAATAAATGTTATCTCTGAGACATTTGGTTCAAAGGCTGATTTTGATGGAAAGACTTATGTATCAAGTAACGAAAGCAAAATTGGAGCATTAGAATTGGTAGTTTCTGATGATTTTTAGGTGTTTTTTATTATTCTTTTTTCATATTTAACATTGCTATCCTTGGTTGATTTGTTCATTGTGAACTGCAACATTTTGAAAATTTGGAGCAGTAGGAACACATGGAGGAGGTGGTCCAGTAGCAACACTTGGGGAAGAGGTGCAGTGTTTTTTTTTAATTCTCCTTATTTTTTATTTATTTTAAATTAAGTTTATAATACATGCTTGTACTTGGCTGACAGGTAAAAAACTTGAGTGTTCAATGTAAGCTTTTGTTATCAGACTTCAACTAGACTATTGGAAACCTGGAAACAGGGCTAGCTACGAGGATGAATTGTGCCGCTCATGATGGTCACCTCGACGTTGTTAAACGTTTGATTGGATTTGGGGTAGATCCCAATAAGCTTGATTATGATGGCAGAACACCTTTGGTATCAACAACTTATTTTCATCAACTCTTTTTATAACACATTTCCATTTCTTCGTTATGCATAATTACATATAGATAATTTATCTATATATTCTCCCATTGCTTCTAATTTAATTTGTCTCTAGTATCTACTCAACACAGTAGCGTCAAACAAATACTTGGATTTGATTTTTCCTCCCGTTTCCCTCTTATTAACTTGATTTTATGTTTGCTATTACAGCATATCTCAGCATCAAAAGGATATGTAGATATTTCTTCCTTTCTTGTTGAACAAGGAGTAAATATCAATTCCACAGGTTAGCTTTTGAACTTTAAAGCCCAAATCAAGGACAATATTTTATTGAAAATGCTTCTTTGAAGAAAAAATAGTGTTACATTCTAAACACCCGTTTGTTTTAGATAAATTTGGACCCACTCCCATGCTTGAAGCCATCAAGAATGGACATGAAGAAGTAGCATCTGTACTTGTTAATTCGGGAGCGATCCTTACTATTGATGATGTTGGTAACTTTCTCTGCATGACTGTTGTAAAGAAGGACTTGGACCTTTTAAAAAGGGTTTTGGCTTGTGGAATCAATCCAAATGCCAAAAATTACGATCAACATACACCTCTTCACATAGCTGCCTCTCAAGGTTTGATTACAATGGCTGAATTACTACTAGAAGTAGGAGCAAGTGTTTTATCTAAGGACAGGTATGGACCAAATATTGAGTTAACATTCTTATCAGGCAATACTTTTTATTCCATTAGCACCTTCATTGTTCTAATGTAAACTTATTTCATTGCTAACTTGGGGGGATCTTAGAATAGTATTTTTGTGTTGTTTATTGAATTGCAAACTAACATCTTTTAATATTTCCTTCTGGCAGATGGGGAAATACACCTCTTCTTAAAGCTCATACCAGTGGAAATAGAAATATGATCAAAATGCTCGAAGTTGTTAAAGTTTCTCAGTTGGCTGAGTTGTCCAGTAGTATTCATGAAACTCAAGGTATGGTTAAGTTTCTGAGCACAGAATACGATCTTAGACGATCTTTAGGTGTTTGCTACGTTGGCATTTGAACCTGGGTTGTTAGATACTCTGCATTTTGAACGTTAGGGATGTCAAGATTCTTATGTCTGGTTAGCAATTAAAATTCATTAAAACCATTCACATTATGTCCTAGAATCGTATCTTGCATTTTTATGTTTAACTACTGGGATACCCAACATCTACAGAAATACATAATTTTTTTCCCCATGTACATTCTAACAAATCATACGCGTTCAACAATTTTGCAGCAACACCAATATTGCAGTCAAGAAATGAAATTCCCAGAAAGAGGTGTATAGTATTTCCTTTCCACCCATGGGATCAGAAAGAGGAAAGAAAAGAGGGAGTGGTCCTATGGGTTCCACAAAGCATTGAAGAGCTTATAAAGGAAGCGATGAAACATTTGGACATTCCAAATGGTTCCTGTTTTTATCAGAACTAGGTGGCAAAATTCTTTATGTGGACATGATTTACAATGATGAGAAGCTATTTCTGGTGAATGAAGCACAAAATGGGGTGAAAAATTCTGGTTATCCCAGTGTCCAGGCACAGAAGTAGGATCAAAAATTGTAAACATAGTTACGACTAGTTGGTTAAAATACCTTTCCTCAGCCCACAAATTTTTCTATTCCAAACCAGAAAGTGTGGAAAATAGATCCAGAAACTATGTTCAATCAATTTGCATTGTATGTCTGCAGTTGTTGTTAGTACAAACGAATTATTTATCGAAAAATGTATATCTCACCACTGCGAAAGGCTTATGTTTCATTCTTAAATTAATAATTTATTTTTCCAGGACAGAAAAAATGTGCAGAGGAAAGATGCAAGCATGGGGGCACATGCAAATGGAGGAGGTGATGAGTCTTTGTGTTGTTGGGGGGGGGGTAGTTCCCGCATCCAGTTACAGGTAGTCAGCAAGGAACGAAGATGACAAAAATGTTGCTAGGGGTAGATGAAGGTGCTAGAAGTTACGCCTCATTACTGCGTATCATATTTAGACTTTTAGAGTCTTAGATACTAAGGAGTTCTCAGAAAATAGTATTTGTTCATAGGGGGATCTATTTTAAGATTGGATCCTTAAGTCCTAGAAATTGAATTTATAATACTGTATATTAAAAAAGTGGTAACCCGAACTTCATAACAAATTAAGTGTTAAAAACTCAGTAGGGAGGAAAAGTCGGAGTTGACATGGATTGTAAATTTGTAACTATAGGGTCTGTCTTATTGTTTGCCTTTATTTATTTGAGTGCTTCTAAAATTGTTTCATACTTGCTTCTTTGCTATTTGAAGGCTTGGATTCTAGATGCAAGCCCTGGAAAAGTTCGAGCAGGTGGAGATGGAGAGGACCATCCAACAGAACTCATATCCTTTCTAAGTACATTGCCACTCCCTTGCTTGAAGGCATCAAGAATGGACATGAAGAAGTAGCATCGGTACTTGTTAATTCGGGAGCGATCCTTACTATTGATGATGTTGGTAACTTTCTCTGCATGATTGTTGTAAAGAAGGACTTGGACCTTTTAAAAAGGTTTTTGGCTTGTGGAATCAATCCAAATGCCAAAAATTATGATCAACGTACACCTCTTCACATAGCTGCCTCTCAAGGTTTGATTACAATGGCTGAATTACTACTAGAAGCAGGAGCAAGTGTTTTATCTAAGGACAGGTATGGACCAAATATTGAGTTAGCATTCTTATCAGGCAATACTTTTTATTCCATTAGCACCTTCATTGTTCTAATGTAAACTTATTTCATTGCTAACTTGGGGGGATCTTAGAATAGTATTTTTTGTGTTGTTTATTGAATTGCAAAATAGCATCTTTTAATATTTCCTTCTGGCAGATGGGGAAATACACCTCTTCTTGAAGCTCATACCGGTGGAAATAGAAATATGATCAAAATGCTCGAAGTTGCTAAAGTTTCTCAGTTGGCTGAGTTGTCCAGTAGTATTCATGAAACTCAAGGTATGGTTAAGTTTCTGAGCACAGAATACGATCTTAGACGATCTTTAGGTGTTTGGTACGTTGGCATTTGAACCTGGGTTGTTAGATACTCTGCATTTTGAATGTTAGGGATGTCAAGATTCTTATGTCTGGTCAGTAATTAAAATTCATTAAAACCATTCACATTATGTCCTAGAATCGTATCTTTCATTTTTAAGTTTAACTACTGGGATACCCAACATCTACTGAAAACATAATTTTTTCCCCATGTACATTCTAACAAATCATACGCGTTCAACAATTTTGCAGCAACACCAATGTTGCAGTCAAGAAATGAAATTCCCAGAAAGAGGTGTATAGTATTTCCTTTCCACCCATGGGATCAGAAAGAGGAAAGAAAATAGGGAGTGGTCCTATGGGTTCCACAAAGCATTGAAGAGCTTATAAAGGAAGCGGTGAAACATTTGGACATTCCAAATGGTTCCTGTATTTTATCATAACAAGGTGGAAAAATTCTTTATGTGGACATGATTTACAATGATGAGAAGCTATTTTTGGTGAATGTAGCACAGAATGGGGTGAAAATTTCTGGTTATCCCAGTGTCCAGACACAGAAGTAGGATCAAAAATTATAAACGCAGTTACGACTAGTTGGTTAAAATACCTTTCCTCAGCCCACAAAGTTTTCTATTCCAGATCAGAAAGTGTGGAAAATAGATTCAGAAACTATGTTCAATCAATTTGCATTGTATGTCTGCAGTTGTTGTTAGTACAAACCAATTATTTAGCGAAAAATGTATATCTCACCACTGCGAAAGGCTTATGTTTCATTCTTAAATTAATAATTTATTTTTCCATGAAAGAAAAAATGTGCAGAGGAAAGATGCAAGCATGGGGGGCACATGCAAATGGAGGAGGTGATGAGTCTTTGTGTTGTTGGGGGGGGGGGTAGTTCCCGCATCCAGTTACAGGTAGTCAGCAAGGAACGAAGATGACAAAAATGTTGCTAGGGGTAGATGAAGGTGCTAGAAGTTACGCCTCATTACTGCGTATCATATTTAGACTTTTAGAGCCTTAGATACTAAGGAGTTCTCAGAAAATAGTATTTGTTCACAGGGGGATCTATTTTAAGATTGGATCCTTAAGTCCTAGAAATTGAATTTATAATATTGTATATTAAAAAAGTGGTAACCCGAGCTTCATAGCAAATTAAGTCTGTTAAAAACTCAGTAGGGAGGAAAAGTCGGAGTTGACATGGATTGTAAATTTGTAACTATAGGGTCTGTCTTATTGTTTGCCTTTATTTATTTGAGTGCTTCTGAAATTGTTTCATACTTGCTTCTTTGCTATTTGAAGGCTTGGATTCTGGATGCAAGCCCTGGAAAAGTTCGAGCAGGTGGAGATGGAGAGGACCATCCAGCAGAACTCATATCCTTTCTAAGTACATTGCCACTCCCTTGCTTGAAGCCATCAAGAATGGACATGAAGAAGTAGCATCTGTACTTGTTAATTCGGGAGCGATCCTTACTATTGATGATTTTGGTAACTTTCTCGGCATGATTGTTGTAAAGAAGGACTTGGACCTTTTAAAAAGGGTTTTGGCTTATGGAATCAATCCAAATGCCAAAAATTACGATCAACGTACACCTCTTCACATAGCTGCCTCTCAAGATTTGATTACAATGGCTGAATTATGATTTTCTTGACAAAAGGCTGGTAAAAAATGTTTGATTTTTGATAGTCTTATTAATATCTTATTTATCATTTATTTAATTTCTTTAGCAAATTATTCCCTATCTTCTTCGGTATAAATCATCGAGCTTCCATAGTTTTTTCTTTTCAATTTATTTTTTGATTTTGGTATTTAATGGATATTGTAATTTATTAATAAATATTTCTTTATATATTTCTTTAGTTTGATTGTTTAGCCGATAATAATATTTTTGATATTCAAAAATAAAATTATCTATTTTACACATGTTACATATTTGAATTTTATTTGAATGTGATTTTGTCTTTTTAGGTAAAAAATTATTTACTCATTTTTTTAATGTTCAAACATATTATAATCAATAAAATTCTGATACATTAAATTTGTTATAATTTTTACTAAGTCTTAGGCAATATTTATCTCTTTTTTTTTCTCTATATTATATCATTGTTCATTTTCTATTGATGATAAATATTTTAATACATTTCCAAAGGTTTTATACATAATAAAATTACTTACATCTATTACGCCTAATACCTGATATAATAAAATTTTCAGAACCAGAAAATACAGATAAAAACAAAGAATCTGAAATAAATAAATTATTTATACAAGTAAAAAACCTTGCAAAAATAATTGTTGAAAAAAATATGATGACATATGTTTTAGATAAATATTTACTCAGAGAGATAGAAAAAATACTAATACGGTTATTGACTTTTCCTAAAGAAATAAGAGAAAAGATAATGAATATATTAATAGAAGACTGTTTTATAGAAGAACTAGAGCAATTAGAAATAGAAGAAAATAGAAGAATTATAAATGAGTTAATAGAAAGAGAAGAATTTTCTAATTTTAATAATAGAATGATAAAATGTACCAAAATTTGTAAATGAGTTGCTAAATGTACAATTTTAAAAATTATATACTAAAATTAAAAAAAAATCATAAAACTTTGATGATAAAATTACAATTAAGTCAAAATCACGTTAATACAAATTATTATTATTATTTTTGTTATATATAATTTTTTTTTATGATAATTACCATAAAATTTATATCGATGATAATTTTTATTAGTTGATATTTGAGAATTTAAAAGTTTTAGGATGATATCCATAATGATTATACTTACTAATTTTTCTTACAATTAATTATAATTGAAATAAATAATTGTTTGAATTTTTTTTTGAAAATAATTTTAAACTTAAATTTTGTTGAAATATAATAAAAAAAAATAGCTTTTATATGATATACTAATTTTAAGGAGCAAAATCACTTTAACTTCAAATTTTTATACATATCAAGTAACTTAATTTTCAGAATTTTTTAATAATTTTTTTGAACTAAATATACAACTTTTTTTTAATAAATATTTTTAAAAACAATTTCTTTATATATGTTTTAGAGTCAATTAAGAAAGATAAGGAGTAAGTATCCTCTCCATTTATTTCTCTTAATTTTTAAAATCTATTTTTATGATTTGAAGTATTTAAAGAACACTAAATATTAATTTTGCATTTTTTATACACTCAAAATTATAATAATTAAAAAAAAACAATTAAAAAAAGAGAGAATATATATTCGACAGAGAAATCGTGCCAAAACAATAAACAAGTGACGAAAAACCAATTAGATTTGGACCAATCTCATATACACTATTCATTTCTATTTCAACAAGGAAAATGATAAAATCTTCTAATGAGATTCCGAAATACGTTTCGAATAATTAAAATAATAATTTAAGTTATAAAATATTAAATTAAATAATTATTTTATAAGAAATTTACTATAAAAAAATAATTTTTTAATAGTTGAAGGATGATTCGAATAAAGATTTCAGAGTAAAGCTACTTTCAACAAATGGATACCTGTACCCGAAACAGATGCAAGTTATTTTTATGCAACTAAACACGGATTAAGAGAGTTTTATAAAAAAATAAACTAATCTTAAAGTTTAATTAAGACATGTCCTGTCTCATTAACTTGGTCTTTCACATATTTTAGATGTTTGAATTCAGTTTAACATTGTTATCTTTTAAATAATTATATTTTTTAAATATATATTTGTATAATTTTTTAATGTGTTTATCTCTAAATATCATATAATTAAATATCACATTACTTAAATATTAATAGAATAATATCTCATAAATCAAAGTTAGAATTTAAACTATATTATTTTAAAAGATTAGAATTACAAATTAATAAAATTAAAAATGTAATTTAACTTATAAATTTATAATACGCTGTCGTTGTCTCGTTGAGAAGATGTGTGTAGGTGATCCGTGTGCAACAACCAGATCCAGGCGAAGAAGGCCCAAAGGTACACACAGCACCCCATAACCGTTGACAATTGGGTTGTTTGGCATTTCATAATGGATGGTGCGGTCATTTTTATTTTTCATTAAATCAATTGCCACAAACGCAAACAGCACCTACCCAACCCAACCCAACAACACTATTGCATCTTTGTCCTCAATAAAAGCAAGAGCGCTTTATTATCATATTTATCAACCGACCAAGAGAGAGAGGAGGCTATATTCGCGCGCCTCTCTCTTTATTTCTCCGCCACCACCACCGCATCTCTCCGTGTCTCCGTCTCCGTCTCCGATCTGCATTCTCCATTCTCATCAGATGCCGCCGCTACTCTCCAATTCCGCGCCATGCTGCACCGCCGTCGTTTACTCCTCCCACCGGAAGGCGACATTCGCCTCTCCTTCATGGAGGAATTGCAAGCTCACGTCTCCAACTCTGCGTTTCTCCGAGGTGCATTTCTTATTTCTTAACCTTTTCTTTTCGCTTTACTGTTGCTTCGATATTTCCTATGCATTGTGCTAATTTGGTATACGTCACGCTCGCATTTAAGCTTCGCTTTGCGTATTTCAACCGGCGCGACGTCTATGTTACTGTTAAATCGGTTTGTATGACATCAGCGAAGAAAATATATGATCGGTTGCTAATTTTGCCGTTTGAGCTTCATATTCAGTTGCGTTAGTTTTAGCAATGTTTACTGCGATACGTTCATTGCGTTCACACTGTGTGCCTCACTAGTTTTGTATGGGTTTTTTTTTTTTGGTGTAGAATGACAAATTCAATGTGTCACGGTTAGCTCTTGGCCACTCTAGGCGAGCGGTTAAAGAGCGGACTATATCAATGGCATTAGTTGGCGACGCTGTTGGACAAAAGGGGGAAGTGGCCAGCTCATCTAGCATCTTGGTAATCTCACTCTGCTCATTGAAAACTGCAAATTGCAATTGCATGCATTTCTATGGATAATTTATTAATTTGCTTCTATTTTGTGTTTACACTTGGCACTTAAAATAGAGAAGAGAAGCTTCTTGTGATTTCTTAGATGGAAAGTAAGCCAACCATGAAGTTTGTTCAATGTGTTTAGTAGGCAGATAAGGAGAAAAGAAGAAGTTCTCAATTACTACTTCGGACCTATATTTAAGAGAAAAAAAAAAAAAAAAACTTAATTTGCATGTATTTCAGTTTAAGAAATTTAAGCATTTTTTTTTGCTTATATAGGTCCAGAGGGAGTATTGGCAAAATGTATCTAATTCTATCCTCCACACAAAAAAGTAGTGTCTAATTTGTCCTTATTTATTATAACTGAGTTTTTTTTTTTATGTGTGACTGCAGGCATATGATTTGATTCAGGGGGCACTTGTAAGTATTATTTATTTCTTGCTTCTCAATTTCATCTAAGAGGAATTTGTTATCACTTTGCATTGAATTAATCTGCTCACTTTCTAGATTCGTAGTGTTCCATTCAGTCCAATAGGACGTATTGGGACATTCGTTTTTAGTTGTTCTTAGCTGACAATGCAAGATCATTCCTCATTGGCCTTTATGTCACACATACCACGTTGCTTTAGGCTAAAGCTAAACAAAACTTTGCGTTTTTAGTTGGGCTGATTTATGGCAGAATGTTAGACATAGATTATTTAAGCTTACAACTTATATAAAAAAGAAGAATAATAATAACAAGGGAACATACTTTTGAAGAAATTAAATTGTCTCTTCGCTATAGAAACCAAAGTTATGAATTCACTATACTGGTCCTTGAAAGAAGATGGTTCACTTTTTCTTGGATTTTCCCTCATTTAGAAATGTATCTATCAAACTATTGTCTCCAATAGTTCAATCATACTCAATATGGATGAGGATGACAACAAAAACTAGGTGGGGTTGGCTGAAGGGGTGTTTTATGGGGATCTTGTTTGGGCTTATGAAAATACATTTGAACTTATTCCAATGAGTTTCATTGTTAAATTTATGTCATAAGCCCTCATGTGATAAGAGCTCATAAATTTATGCTTAATTAAGTTGTTTACACAAATGCACCCTTAGTGATATTAAATAATAATATGGAACAAAAAATTGTTAACCATACAAACCTATTAATAATTTATCGACATGTTCAAAAGGCTTCTTAACAAAATAGAGTTGAAACTTTATGAAAGTATTGAGATGAAAGTTTGTAGCCTGACACTGGATCGATGCAAACATCACGTTTTTTAATACAGAGTTAATGAATTTGATGGATATGCTTTTTATGTAATTCTACAAAAGACTAATACACAAATAATTTACTATGCCCAGGTGAGATGGAGTTCTGTTATGGACAGATCTTTACCTGATCCACCAACTGCTGTTTTTCTTCATGGGATCCTTGGTTGCAGGAAAAACTGGGGTTTGTGCTACTGTGTACATACTGTTTTTCACAAGCCTTTTGCAATATAAAATTTATGCATGACCTGAATTGCTTCTATGTTATGTGCATGATTATCATGTGGTAACAATGTATTACCCCTGATCAAACTACCGTTGTCTTCTACATGCTCCCAAAACTCATCAAGAATTTTAGAGTAGCTTTGTTCTTAGTTGCAGACCAGGATATTTATATTTTGTAGTTAATCTGTGACTGAGCATTTCAAGGCTTTTTTTTTTGTTCAGGTGACAATGACATAGCACTTTTCTTTTTTAGTAGTTTTCTTGTGGTTTCTGATATTTGGGTTGGATATGTTTTGTATTAGCAAGGATCTATATCTAGTGCTGAGGAATATATAAATTGAAAATAATGTGTTGTTAGTTTCATAATTCACTGCTGAAAGATGATATTGCAGGAACTTTTGCTAGGAGATTGGCTCAAGAGTTTCCTACGTGGCAGGTATTTTACTTTACATTTTTGTCCTAAGCTTTGTTAGGTACTAGTACTACTTACCATATAAATTTCTTTTAGTTATATCAAGCATTACACATATGGATTTGTTAATTTAATATTGATCCACTAAGGGAATAGTTACATCATCAACAAACTATTAATACCATGAATTCAAAACTCGGTTAAAATATATTATTTAAAGTGGATGATGTATCACTTTCTTGTTTGTTGATTGTGTTATGAGTTTGGATCAAATTATTAGACTCTATAATTAGGTAATATTTTGTTTTCTGGCTATCCTCAATTGTCCAATTCAAGAACATTTTGGATTTACATATATCTGAATCCTGTTTGCTTCTTTTGTTTGCATTGACAGTTTCTTTTGGTAGACTTGCGATGTCATGGTGATTCAACATCAATAAAAAAGAGAGGCCCCAATACCGTTGCATCTGCTGCTTTTGATGTTTTGAAACTGGTGCGCTTTCTTTACCATGTTTCCAAAATCATTATCATATTTATGTGGTGGGCTTGCTAAAGAATGGAGCCAGGGATCTATATCAATTCCAATCAACCCACTCTTAAAGGGATTTAAACCTTGGTTGTGCAACATGGAATGCCCAGTGTTCAACCATTTGGGTTTCCTCTTAAGGATTCTCACCCCACCTTGACCCTTCCTTTGTTTCATGATTTATGATTTCTCTCTAATTTGGGTGAATTCCTCAAATTATTGGCTTTACCACTTTTGCTCCCTTAATTTTAGTTGCATTTTGTTTTCCTTCTTTGACTATAAAATGCTAGATGATACCAATAGTGGGAATTAAAATCCCTTGCGATTTTTTAAAATGAAGTATGTTTTCTGTGTTTATGGAATATTTTACTATTGATAGAAAACTTTGGGATATTTGAAATTTAAGTCAAACATGTTTATTATATACAGTTGTGTTTTCATTTATTTTATATTTCCTTTCTTTTAATAACATCCTCTTTGTTCTTCTGATAGGTTCGGGATCTAAGAATAACACCTCGTGTGTTAGTTGGTCATAGTTTCGGGGGGAAAGGTTAGTTATTGAACTTTTTTAATTTAATTTTTATATACCATTTTTCAGTAGCCAATTTTACTTACATTGTTTAATTTTCTCAGTTGTTTTGAGCATGGTGGACCAAGCTGCAAAGCCTCTTGCTCGGCCAGTGAGAGTAAGTTCAAATTCAGTTGTTTCTTTTTTGGTATTGCTGGACGAAGGATTAGCTATAAACTGTTTAGTTCTTTGTGTTAAAAATATGCAACATGTTGGTTTGAACTTTTTTTTGGTGATGTTTTGAATCCATACATGGCTTTACGGATGAAAATATGTATAAAGGAGCATGTATAGCAGTTTCCCTTAAATCTTAATCATACGAGTGTGGTGGCAACTGAGAGTGGAAAGACAGCTCTGGTTAAGTGTCAGTGGGAGGTGAGGTTGGAAAAGTATGACAAGATGGCTGGAAATGATGCTGGCAGAATTTGGTGGTTGGAAAAAGCATCGTACACTTACATGTCCTTCTGCATGAAAAAATGTGCAGAGGAAAGATGCAAACATGGGGGGCACATGCAAATGGAGGAGGTGATGAGTCTTTGTGTTGTGGGGGGAAGGGGGGGTGAAGTTCCCGCATCCAGTTACAGGTAGTCAGCAAGGAACGAAGATGACAAAAATGTTGCTAGGGGTAGATGAAGGTGCTAGAAGTTACGCCTCATTACTGCGTATCATATTTAGAGTTTTAGAGTCTTAGACACTAAGGAGTTCTCAGAAAATAGTGTTTGTTCATAGGGGGATCTATTTTAAGATTGGATCCTTAAGTCCCAGAAATTAAATTTATAATATTGTATATTAAAAAAGTGGTAACCCGAACTTCATAACAAATTAAGTCTGTTAAAAACTCAGTAGGGAGGAAAAGTCGGAGTTGACATGGATTGTAAATTTGTAACTATAGGGTCTGTCTTATTATTTTCCTTTATTTATTTGAGTGCTTCTGAAATTGTTTCATACTTGCTTCTTTGCTATTTGAAGGCTTGGATTCTGGATGCAAGCCCTGGAAAAGTTCGAGCAGGTGGAGATGGAGAGGACCATCCAGCAGAACTCATATCCTTTCTAAGTACATTGCCAAAGGAGGTAGATCTTTAATTGATTCCCCCCCCCCCCCCACTTTCAATTAATGTGTCTTTTTGAGAAAAAGAATGTAACATTGACGTTAATTTGATTCAATATGTTGCTTTTGTTTTGGTTCCTAAACTTCAAGGTTTGGTTGTTGGGTCTGATCTAAATTATTGACACTTTCCTATTTTATTATTAAATTCAAAGTTTGAATTGTAATTAATATCAAGATATGGTGTTATATGGAATATTTGTTTCTAATAAAGGTGGTTTCTTGTCAATCAATTTTTTGTGGGCTATAAATATCGTAGTTGTATTAGGGTTTTAGGGAATAATTATAGATATGAAAATGAGGATGAGTGTGACAAAGATTTTCTTGTGAGGTCCACCTCTCCCTCTAAGGGTTTAGTATATTTGATCTCTTCTCATTTGTAGATGGAGATTGAGAGTGCCACAAAATTTTATCCTGTGACCTTTTATATATATATATATATATATATAGTATATTTGATCTCTTCTCATTTGTAGATGTAGGCACAGTAGGTTGAACCATGTTAAATTTGGGTTTTTTTTATGCTTTTATTTAAATTGACAGAATGATATGAGCATTTTTTTTTTTTTTTTAAATTTCTATGACCATTTCCTCAACGAAGGTCTCTTCAAAGCGGGATGTTGTCAAAGCTCTTATTCAACAAGGATTTTCCAACGATGTGGCACAGGTATATAGTTATGACATTATTTGATGCCAATCGCCGTTCAATTTGTGCGTGTTTTCTTGCTTGCTTTACAATGTTAGAAATTCGTGTTCATGGATAGTATACAGGTTAGAAATTGCGTTTATTGATAGTTGGATACTGTATACTTTTCCTTGGTTCAATGATTGGTGAAGCTAATGCTGAGGAAAGTATTTGATTACTATCCCATTTACTCTCTGCTCTTCACTGATATTTTATGCTACAATGCCGTCGCAAAAATTATATAATGCATGATTCGTGGTAAACTATAGTGCCCTTAAGGAAATCGTTAAATTCTGATTGAAAAGTTTAAAAAAAATATCGTAAACTCGTCATGCAGCCAGCTCTTGGATGAAGTGATGAACTAGTAGAGCAAGAAGTCAAAATTGGCATCAAGTCACGAAAGATGTTTATAAAATTGCAGCAAAATACTGAAAACTTTAACAGTCTACTGATAACCTAGTAGACATAAATTGTTTTAGAAAAATCTAAATTAGGAGTAATTAGTATATGATGAACATATTTATATTAAATATTCATAGATGAAAACTTTTGTTTTACTCCTTTAGGCAATTTCAGTTTGTTTGCCTATCTGAATCGTCACACATCTATGATTGTTTGATCAGATGATTGATTAAACAAATTTTAAAGATCTTTGTTGCCTTGATAAATAAGTTGGATGTTACAAAAGCAACATAATTCACACTAAAATTAATGAAGATAAAATAAATAAATATTTTGTCAATTTTTCTCCCTCTATTACATTTTGATTTTTTTTCCTTTCTGTTTTCCATGTAGTGGGTTGTGACTAACCTGCGACCTACCAGCTCTCCTGGTTCACAATCGTCAGGCTTCTCATGGGTGTTTGACCTAAGGGGGATTGCAGAAATGTATCAATCCTATGAAGAAACAAATTTGTGGTACTTTCTGTGATCTATGATAACAATGCTAGCTGTAATATATTGATTTTTACGAGCCTTACTTCTTTGGTTGAGATGGTTCCCGCCTTGAGTATGAATTAGAATGATAGATAGAGTCAGGTCCTGTGTGATTGTTAATTTTATATTTGTTGAAGAAATAACTCCATTGTTAGTGTATTTACTGATGCCAGGTTTAATGATATATGCAATCACATTTAATTTTGAAATAAATCTTTCCATACAGAAGATTGTGTGTGGAACCAATAATGAATTATGCTTCTTTTCATAGGAAAATTGTTGAAGATGTACCTCGGGGTGTACATGTGAACTTTTTGAAAGCAGAAAGAAGTTTACATAGATGGGCTCTTGAAGATCTTCAGCGGATCCATGCCGCTGAGGAGCTTGCTGTTGAGGAAGGAGGTGGGGTTGAAATGCATGTCCTTGAAGATGCTGGTCACTGGGTACGTTATGTCACCTGGTTATTTTCTTTGGAATTATTTCATGTTGTCTCATATTAACGATGGAGTGAGGATGAATTGTGTATTGTGGAGCTTGCTTGTGACGCTATTTAAAAAAGGATTTACTTTGTCTATCAACAGGTACATGCTGATAACCCAGATGGACTCTTCAGGATATTGTCATCATCTTTCAAGTGAAGCAAGACCGGAATTTACATGTGTGTTCTCTCTAGTAACTTATATTTATACGAGATGGGATTGCCTTTCACACTTCACAGTTTGATGCTATTCCTTCTTCCCATTTTTTGCCTAGTTGTCCCTATTGTATATGCTATTGTTTTTTATCTTCTTGTACATCTCCATAAATTATATATATATATTTTTTTTATATTTATTTATCGTTACTCTATTCAGTAAATCTCCCCGCAACTAAGTTTCTGTCCTTGGTCCGAGTAGCGCTGATGCCTAAATGTAGATGAGCATTACTTTTAGTTGCTTAGAATCAGATAATACACGAAACATATTGATGTATTCAACTTTCGTTTGTGTAATGACCGAATATCTCTGATTATTCGTTAAGCCTCTAAGATCTTTGTTATTTATTGGAAATTGAAATGTGGATTGCTAGTATTTTCTTTCTTTCTTCAACACATTTATTAGTTAAAATTTATTAACAATGATAAAATCATGATTGATTTTTTATTTATGCATTACGAAGTGAGATTAGTAAAATTTGTCATTTTTAATAAATTTCAGTTTATAATAGAAAATGTGTTCCAAAAAATTTGTTGAATAATATTTTACTAAGCATTATTATTAGAAATTTGTGTCCACAATATTGTATAGTAATCAAGAAGTCAGCTACTGGGGATGATGTATACATTGATTTGTATCTCATGGGAATGAAATTAATAAAATTAGAACAAAATTAGTAAAAATATTTTTATTTATTAATGATTTATTTTTGAATTAGTATATTAGGATATTTATCTTGTCTTTTTACGGGAATAACAAATTACTCAGATTGTGGACAACTGTCCAAGGATACTAGAGATGAAATACAATTGGGAAGTCTTTTCTATTCAGACTAAATCATGATTATTACCTGCGAATTTCGGTGGACAATAATTATTAAAAAGATAAATCGAAGTCCTTAATTGTCGTCGCTTCCACAACGGCTGCATTGAATTCCATGTGGATAACGCTGGTGGCAACAGCTAGAACGTAGCTCTCATGGTCTAGAATGACTTCTCCAAAATGTTGCCACGTCTGTGTCGAGCTCATATAATTCATCCAGCAGAGGTACCCCATCTTGTCTCTAGTTCATCTTAATACGTCCACATTCTCATCCCTTCTCTGGCTTAAACAATATATGAAATATTCCTTGATGCAATATACGGAAATGCATTTCTTTTAAAACGATTCTAAAATTAAAGGTACATTTACATATGGTTTTTCTTTTCATAAATCTCTCTCTCTCTCCCTTTTAACTTTTGAATAAAATACTAAACAATTGCTTAAGTTTTTTTTTTTTAACAAATCATCAAATTATTATACAATTTTAAACTTAACTTTTTGTTATTATTTTTTTAAAAATACAAACAAACAGTCTCTAAGTTATTCTATGACTAGGATGTATTTTGTAGATCTTTTTTTCTTCATTTTAGAGCAAGATTCTATTTTCCAATTGTCATTGTTCTTAATTTAAATATCACTAAAAAAATTTAAATTATTCCTCACTGTGCAAGTTTTTTTTTCTTCCATAAAATCCTTTTAAATATTAGGAAGGTTTTATTTGTAATTACATTGGGCTTATTACTACGATATTCATTTTTATGCTAAACAAAATAAACGGAAAAAAAATAAATGAAATTTATCACCGAAATCTTATGGAGTATATGATATCAATTTGTGGTATGACCTTATCGTAAATTTAAAAAAGAAAAGAAAAGATAGTTTTGTGGTGCATAACGCATTTTTTGCAAGTTGCAAGGTAGAGTGTGCGAAAGGGAAATAGATGAAGGCATGCAGGTGACGTGGCACCTCCAAACTCACTTTTATCCAAACCCAAACCCAAACCCCCACTCAACGCAATTAAATTCCCCACTCTCATTCTCTCTCCATTCATCGCTCTTCTCTTTCCGTCAACGGCGCTCTCCACTGTGGCCACCGGTAACCTCTCTATTCTCCCTTCGGACTCTCCATTCCTCTCTTACTTTTTTCATAGCTTGAATTTTCCCCAAGCTTAATTTACTTTCTTTCTCTGCTTAACTTCTCTTTAATGCGTGAACATGTAATCGTATAGTAACAATACCGACTGAATTGTGAACTGCACCTAGGTTTCATCTTGTTTAGATCTATCTATGTGATGTTGTAAATAGCGTATACTAATCTTACGATTTAGCATCTTCGTATTGTTTTTAGCGGAAGAATTTGAATGATAGTGGCGTTGTACACTGCACACTAGGGTTTACATGAAACAAGCCTGTAAAATTTTTGAACACTCTTGACACGAGTTTCACACGCTCACTCATTAACCTTTTCTAATCCTGCTTTTTTTAGTTCTCATTTCTGTGTACCACTGTGGTCCATTTTGGATAAGATTCTCAACCAACGCTTGTATAAGAGAAGAAAATAAGTAGAATGAATTGGATTTTATCATAAGTTAAAATCAACTTATGCATCCTAACTTTTTCAGAAGCTTTCTCAACTAACTTCTCCAAAAGTTGGACTTGCATAACTTGATTTTAACGTATGAGAGAAGTTTGATTGATTTTACCTCCCTATTTCTTTGATACGTGTTTGTTGAGAAGTTTATCCTAACTTAGTGTATGTCTGTGAGGAATATTATATTTGCAGGCTTTGAGTTTGTTTAGTGTGGATTAATATGACATGCTGAGGTTATTGATGTGACGTATCAATTATGGACAGGCCATTTTGTAACATAGATGTCAATTTTGTTCATACCAAAAAATCTTGAGTCTTATTCGGTCTCCATTTTGAATTCCTGAAGGATTTTCAGTTTTTTAATTCTTTTATTTCTTAATCAAGCATTTCCACATTCAAAGAGATTTAGTTACTTGTGTTACATATTTAGTCATTAATATGGAATTGGATTGGTAATTTTTATTTGAAAATGCAGCCTGTAACCATCTATTTTTAATAACACTTGCATGGAAATAATATTGAAAATAATAATTCTATTGAGTATAGAGATAAAATCTCTGATATGAAAAATTCATTTTTCTTCGTTTTTCAGGGTGAACTTTTCAAGTTTGTGGATACGCTTTAATGTACAGAAGCAGCAATATTGTGGCCAGGATTTTTGATCGTCAAATTTGCACTCCTGCTCCTGGCACTAGTGTAATTTCTTCTCACTATCAATTATATTTGCAATTTTTTTCCTGGGAATTTTTACATGTGGTTTTCTTCTCTTTTTAATATCATGTTCAGTGCAATAATTTATTTTTAAATGCTAAGGTGTAGAATAATTGATGCAAACAAATTATGCTTAACTACATGAGTTTTTAAGCACTTCAGAAACAGGAATTGTGTTCTAGTTTTTGTAGGGGGTCAGGAGTGTTAAAAATAAAAGGCACAATGATTGGGTTGTAAGTGTTAATTGTAGGAAATGGGAATATCCCTGATGAACTATCAAGAACTTGAGTGAAGGAAGATAAATACGGTTTTGTTTTGTTGCATTTTTTCATGTTTAGAGGGGTTGAACAGTTTATTTGATTCTTGTTTAATTAATCTGTGTCAAATGTCAAGTATAACCTGTTGTTGTTGAAGTGGAAACTTGAAATGCAGAAGATATATATGGTGTGTCATTTTGGAAAATTTGCTTTCATTTTATCAGATGGAAAAACTAGCTTAGTGAGAAATTTGTAAACTTGTTTTCTTGTTCCTCTGTTGAAGGAACCTGAATTGAATTTAATTTTTGCAGGTGTAATTTAATTCTTGCAGGTCCATCATGCTCGGCGGTTCTATGAAAATTTGGTACCTAGTTACACAGTATATGAGGTTGAATGCCCAGACCATTCATTTCGTAAATTCACTGATGATGGTCAATACCTTATTAGTTTCAGCAGAAATCATCAAGAGTTGATAGTTTTTAGACCTAGATGGCTTTCTTTTTCATGCAATGATGAAGATTGTGATAAACATGATTTGCCATCAAAAGCAAAGAAATTTGACAGTTTTTTCTCCCAATTATATTGTGTACCACTTGCTTCTTGTAATGAACTTATATGTAAAGATTTCTTTCTTTACATGGAGAGTAATCAATTTGGACTGTTTGCTACTTCAACGGCCCAAATTCATGATGCACCTGCTGTTGGAGGAGCTGTCCATGGTGTTCCTTCAATCGAGAAGATAACTTTCCACCTCTTGAGGTGCTTACTCATTTTTTCTTTATATTTGTTTTTTTTTCTAACCTTCAAGATAACAAGATAAATCATATTCTAATCGATCATTTTTATATTTTTTTGTCATTTCTCACCTCTTATATTAGACTGGAAGATGGAGAGATCTTGGACAAGAAGGTCTTCTGTAACGACTTTGTTAATTTAACCCATAATATGGGTGTCTTCTTGTATGATGACCTATTGGCAATTGTATCACTTCGTTATCAAACTATACACATTCTTCAAATTAGAGACTCTGGGAACCTTGTTGATGTACGTGCTATTGGGGAATTCTGCCGTGAAGATGATGAGCTTTTCCTCAATTCAAATGCTCAGGTCAGTAAGCTTTTGGTATTGACTTTATTGAAATGTATTTTGTTGAGCATATCATTACATAGATTATTGTTGGCTTTTGAGAAAAAATCTTGACATCTTTTATCTAATTAAATATTCTTTCTAGATCTTTTTGTGTTAGCTCAGTTGGTGGAGCTGTGGAACATGCAACTAGAGTGCATGGGTTCAAACTTCACAATTCACTCCACCCCACCCCATTTCCTATTCCCTTACCCTCTCCCTCCCCTTGGGGCTTCCCCTAGGGTTCACATCAATAGTGGGCCCTCCCTTGAACTAAAAGAATCTTTTAAGAATGCTTTTACAATTTGAGTGCAAGCCTTGGGATGACAGAGTAAGGTTGCTGCCTTGTGGCGTACCTCTTCTCTTGTAGGGTAAGTTTGCACACATTTAACTTCCCTAGACCCCACTAGGTGAGAGCCTTTGTACGCTAGGTAGCCTTTAATGCTTTTACTGTTCATTTTTTAAAAATCAGTGGGGTGGTTAACACCTTAGGAATGCTTTTCGATTCTGTTTCAGTGGTTCAAAGTTCAAACTAATAATTTTGTGAGCATCTTTTATTGACACCACATCCCAATTATCCTTTATCAATTATGTAGCCATCCAAGAAGATCGATATTGATAATTCTGATAGTTTTTGTGGCATATTTAA